TCCAAACTTGGTTACATACAATGTGGTTATCAAAGGCTTGTGTGGGACAGGTACAGTTGATGAAGCATTGAAGCTAAAGAAGTCAATGGAAGGAAAGGGATTGGTTCCGGATATCTATACCTACAGCACACTCATTGATGGCTTCTGTAAGAAAAAGAAATCCAGGGAGGCAAAACAGATTTTGGATGAAATGTATGAAGTAGGTCTGAACCCGGATCATTTTGCATATACTGTGCTAATTGATGGATTCATGAAGGAGGGTGAGGTGGATGAGGCATTTAGAATAAAGGATGAAATGGTTGAACGTGGGAAGAGTTTGAATCTAATGACCTACAATTCTATCATAAACGGGCTTTGCAAAATTGGCCAGATTGACAAAGCAGTAACTATCAAGGCTGACATGATTGATATGGACATATTCCCTGATGTGCAAACATACAATTATTTAATTGAGGGCTATGGTCGCAAGAATAACATGGATAAGGCTTCTGAACTTTTGGTTGAGATGACTGACATAAACTTGGTACCTTCAGCCTATACTTATGGTGTGCTGATTAATGCTTTCTGCAACGCTGGAGATCTCTGTCAAGCAATTCTTATTTTGGAGAAGATGATTGCAGCTGGCGTGAGACGAAATGTTATCATCTACACCCCAATCATAAAAGGTTATGTAGAGGATGGTAAATTTGAAGAAGCAAAACATATTGTGCAGGATATGTGGCAGGATGGTATATTACCTGATATCTTCTGTTATAATTCAATTATTAGTGGGCTCTGTAAGGTGGGAAGGATAGATGAAGCAAAAGCGTGTCTCGTTGAAATAGAGAAGAGAAGACTGAGACCGAATTCATATACTTTTGGGCCTTTTATTTCTTGGTATAGAGAGGCAGGGAATATGCAAGTTGCAGAACAGTATTTCTGGGAGATGATAGATCGTGGTATAGCGCCTAATTATGTCACCTTTGCGTGTATCATTGATGGTTACTGCAAATATGGGAATATATCACAAGCATTTTCAGTATTGAATCGCATGCTTGAAATAGGTCGACTGCCAAATGCTCAACTTTATGGTATTCTTATCAATGCCCTCTCAAAGAATGGGAAATTGTCAGATGCCATGGATGTTTTATCTGAACTTTATAATAAGGGTCTAGTTCCTGATGTGTTCACTTACACCTCACTAATTTCTGGTTTCTGCAAGCAGAGTAATTTGGAAAAGGCTTTTCTACTTCTTGATGAAATGAGTCAGAAAGGTGTTAAACCAAACATAGTCACTTATAATAGCTTAATAGGTGGTCTTTGCAAGTCAGGTGACCTATCGAGAGCTAGGGAAGTGTTTGATGGCATCTCTGGAAAGGGTTTAGCACCAAATGGTGTGACATATACTACAATCATTGATGGTTACTGCAAAGCTGGTGATCTAGATGAGGCATTTCGCCTTTCAGATGAAATGCCTTTACGGGGTGTTCAACCGGATGCCTTCGTATACAATGCTCTTCTTCACGGATGCTGCAAGGCAGGAGAGATAGAGAAGGCATTGTCATTATTCCATGAAATGGTAGAGAAGGGAATTGCATCTACTCTTACTCTCAACACATTGATTGATGGGTTTTGCAAGTTAGGAAGATTGAGTGAAGCACTGGAGTTGGTGAAGGGTATGTCTGATATGCACATCCTGCCTGATCATGTAACTTACACCATTTTAATTGACTACTGTTGCAAGAACGGAATGATGAAAGTAGCAGAAGAGCTTTTCCAAACGATGCAAGGGAGGAAACTGATACCAAACATTGTGACTTACACTTCACTCATACAAGGTTATCACAGAATTGGAGAAAAATTGAAGGTGTTTTCACTATTTGAGGAAATGGTGGCAAGGGGCATTCAGCCTGATGAAGTAGTCTACAGCTCAATGGTTGATGCACTTTACCGAGAAGGGAATCTACATAAAGCTTTCAGTCTTTGGAATGAACTTTTGGATAAAGGTCTTTTGAAAGGACATGTAAGTGAAACATTAGTAGGGTCTTGGTGTGAGAAGGGAGAAATTTCGGCATTGTTGGCATCACTCAATGAAATAGGAGAGCAAGGTTTTGTACCTAGTCTTGCTATGTGCAGTACTTTAGCCCACGGATTAAATCAAGCAGGATATTCTGAAATATTACCTATGGTTATGGAGACCATGGTAAAGTTTTCCTGGATCTCCAATTCCATGACTTCAAATGACTTAATCAGACATTGTCAGATAGATGAACATACTGAAAGTATTAGCAACACTCCAAAGCAATCAGCCTTATAAGTTACTTGTCAGCTTCAAGACTAGCTCAACAAGAATGTTGTATGCTGGATTAATCCGTTCTCTCTGCGGTTTCTGACCGTGGATGCTCGATGGCAAACCCAGACTCCACTTGTGGGACAACACTGGGTATGTTGTTGTTAAACTGCTGAATTTTTTAAGTTTACTACCTGAAATAGGATAGTGATTTTATCTCTGTGTACAAAATATATGTATCCAGTATTTTCTTAATGTGGGGTTTGAATGTTAACAAAATTCTTGCTTATTTAAAAAGAGAAGATTGCTCATCTGCTTTGTCATGCACCATGCCTTTGATGTGTCAACATTTTCTCATCCATCTCTACTCGCCAAACACACTAATGATGAGAATATTGATATTTAAAGACCTTGAGGATTGTTTTATGATGATACTAGCTCGATGAATAATTGCTCTTTGAAGTTTTATTGGTCATAGTCCATAAAACTTTTGTTGGCAGAGTTGGTGGGTTCATATTGTTGTTTATACGGTGCAACCAGATTTGCATGGTTAGAGTGGTGAGACTATTAAGATGAACTGACAAATGATCAAGTTTCAGCATAATTTAGTTGCCTGATTGAAAAAGAATGTCTGCAACTCAGTGTTATTTATTCTCATGTTATCTGATATAAGTTGTTTCCATTTATAAAGGAGCAAATGTTTGTAGCACTGCAGCTTGCATGTGAAGTTCTTTCCTTGGAACTTGCTACATTATTCTTCGGTTCTATGGTCACTCTGCTTATGTCATCCTTATCACGGTGCTTTTTCCTTGGTCTATTGAGGAAAAGCAAGGCAAGGAAACCTTGATGTGTACATTTGAGTAACTGTAAGTAATATACATACTGAATACCAATGTCAAAGCTTTTGTATCAGAAACAATTCTGCTTGCTCACAGTTTCCTTTCTGTCTTTATGTAGGTTCTTGGAGAAGGATGCCAAGGCGTTTCTCGTGTAGTTTTCAACCCCTCTGATGCACTTCTGAAGTTACTTACCAGCGTTGAAACTAGGATGGATGTCTCTTGTTAGCTGTAGATCTATGTCTCACTATCTAATGATTATTCGTTTTGTAAAACTTTAATATTTTATGTATAGGCTTCACATTGTCACTGGAAAAAAGTACAGAGTATTTTGATGAACATTTGCCCAAGTTGAGTACTGCCCAATACTGTACAATGTGCAAAGAATTTTAGAGAAGAAACTAAGGTATAAAAAAAACATCAAGAAGTTATTTCGATGAAAGACATGCGTGACATTGTAACTTGGCCCTCTGTGTTTTATATCATTACATATTAAAATTTCCTTTGGCAGAATGAATAACCTGGACTGAGCAAGCTGTTTCCCCAGATAACTCAAACCTTCGTTGCTTTTTGGGACGTGGAAACTTCAAGCTGTGAGTGACTTATGTGCTGCTGTTATCTGTTTGCAACTTTTAGGAGGGTAAGAATCTCCACATCATTGAGGGCTAATTCTGAGACAAGGTGACAAATGGTCTTGCCTTCAAGATCAGCAATGCGTGGGTTCAAACGAAATTCTATTGGTCAAAACGAAATGATACAGCTTTAGTTGATTAAACATGACAATTGACAAGATGATCTTTGATCATTAGTCTGATGGTTTAGCATAATCAGAAGTATGTTCATTATTGATCCAAAAACATATATATACTCTCTCAAATTCGAGCCAAGTATCACTTACCGTGCAACTATAATGTAGTACCAGAAAAAAGGTGGAGGAAGGAGAAGGGAAAGAAACGAGAAAGCGGAGAAGAAGGTACAACAAGAGAAACAAAAAGAAAGAGAGGTAGAAAGAATAAGACTAAGAGAGAACAAAAGAGAAGGAACAATTCATCAGCTTGTTCCAAACAAAATAACAGAGTCGAGTAGAGATTTCTTAACAGGGATGGCATGACAGGGCAGAGGAAGCCCGGCAGATCAGGGTGGCAAGTTGGATACTTCTTGTCACTGAAAACGAGGCTCGGGAAAACCCTGATTCAACCACATCAAATTCCAAATTTGAACTAAATTCAAGAGAATCAATTTTAATGGAAGAAACAACTTCCTCAAAAGAATTGAGTTTTACTGTACTAGTAGAGAAAAATTCTTGTTTAACTATGTTTTGTATAAAGCACTTCAGGGTTTTGCAGTAAATTTAACAAAGCAGTCAGCTATGGAAGTTCAATATTTACTTTTTCCTCTGGAGGATTCCGACTTCCTATACATATACCTCTTTATGTCTTCTACACTGCAAACACACACACCAGGAGACGCTTCACCATGGACTACTGCATTAACATCGGCTTGGTAGACAACAATGAGACGATATACAACTTTCTTGTCATTTGCAGACACATTCCCACAACTGTTCTGCAACTGAAAGCAGGTTCTGCATACTGCAACAAGAATCAGACATAAATTAAACTACAACTACAACATACCCAGTAACAAAGTGGGGTGGGGGGTCTGGGGAGGTGAGCGTACACAGACCTTACCTCTACCTTAGGTAGAGAGGCTTTAGCCAGATACCCTATAAAGATGTGAATTATTTAGCAAATGTTCTTTATTACCACACACATACGGGAAGCACCAATAGTAATAAATGTCTTTGTGTGGTTTTTTTTTTTACTATGTAAATCTATAGTTCGGCATATCTGTGAATTTCTACACAAAAACTTGAACACAATTTGACTGTTCCATTTCCAACATTGAAGCAGCAAAACTCAAATAATTAGAATATGATTCCTCAAAACTTAACAATTGAGTTTGATCCAATAAGACGACTCATTTATGTTTGTATTTAAAACGAAGTCATGAACAACAATAACAATAGAAAATAGCATGGTGCCTATCTTCAATACAATTTTCAACTAGAGCAAAGTAACTAGCAAATGTAAGTGGCATTACAGAGAGCTTCAAGGCTGTTGTTGAGCATCCATGTAACCAGCATCAACAAGAACCTTCTCCCTTTTAGCCAATTCGACATCCTCGTCCACCATCATCTTCACCAGTTGTTTGAATCCAACTTTGGGCTTCCATCCCAAAACTTTCCTAGCCTTGCTCGAATCTCCCTTAAGATTATCAACTTCTGTAGGCCTAAAGTACCTCTTATCAATCACCACATGATCCGACCATTTCAATCCTACATAACCAAATGCCTCTTCCAAGAACTCCTCTACCGTGTGGGACTCCTCGGTTGCTACCACATAGTCATCCGGCTTCTCTTGCTGCAGCATCATCCACATTGCTTCTACATAGTCCCCAGCAAAACCCCAATCCCTGGATGCCTGCAGATTCCCTAAAAACAGCTTGCTCTGTAGCCCAATCTTGATCCGACCCACAGCCCGAGTGATCTTCCTAGTGACAAAGTTCTCACCCCGCCTGGGAGATTCATGATTGAACAAGATCCCATTACAAGCGAAGATCCCGTACGCTTCACGGTAATTAACGGTGTACCAATGCGCGGCACACTTGGATACAGCGTAAGGGGATCTAGGGTGGAAGGGTGTAGATTCAGATTGCGGTGGTGGTGTGGATCCGAACATCTCAGATGAACCAGCTTGGTAGTAACGGATATTTGATCTTCCAGTAGCAGAAATGTGAGAACGGACAGCCTCCAGAAGACGAAGAGCACCGGTGGCGACAACGTCGGCGGTGTAATCAGGGATCTCAAAGGAGACGGCAACATGAGACTGTGCGGCGAGGTTGTAAACCTCATCAGGTTGAATTGTATCAATCCAGCGGCGGAGAGAAGAGGCATCGGTAAGATCGGCATAGTGAAGCTTCATGCGTGCCTTATGGACATTGTGAGGATCGATGTAGATGTGATTAACTCGTTGGGTGTTGAAATTGGAGGATCTACGAATCAGTCCATGAACTTCATAGCCCTTGTCGAGAAGGAATTCAGTCAGATACGACCCGTCTTGGCCAGTAATGCCGGTGATCAGAGCTACTTTCCGGCGATCGCCATTGGAATCTCCGGTCGATTCAGATCTGTCGGATGCCATTTTTCGGTGAGTCGAAGTTATTCTTTCTTGAATTTGTATGTTGGAGTTTTATAGTAAAAGCTTATTGAGAACTACTTGTCAATTTGCGTCAAATTAATTGAATCAAGTCTAACTATGACACAAATGAAAAAACAAATTCACTGAATCACAAATAAGAAGAAGAAATATCAAAATTAGCAAATTTTGCACGTGCCTGTATGATGCTCGGTTCGGTTGCAAATGTGTTATCGTTTTGTGAACATGCTAAATCATTAAAGAAACTTTAAGATATCGATTATTGATTGTTATTTATCATTTGTTCAACTATTAATATTTCATATGAAAACATATTCTTCATTAAAAATTCTAAACCGCTATTCGATAAAAGATAAAATCTAAATCATTAAACTAATAACCATTAGACCCTCTTATTCCTTCCTTCTCCAAGTTCTAGCTATGGAAAGAGGTATCAACAACAACTGATTTTATTATAGGACAACTCATGATGTTCATATCGATCTATTATGCGTCTCTACATCTAGCATTGGGTAAACCTCATACAATAACTCCTATAAACCAATAACAATTTTTCATTTCGAATTATCAGTTCCAACTCGATTTTGATTTGTTTGTCTTACACTCCTTTTTTTGTTTGTTCCAAAAGGAGCACTTTTTTTTTTTTGACAATTCTTTAATACTAACTTTCCACGTAACATCCTTTTAAGACCACAAAATTATGAAAATACATTCTACATATATTTATGACTTGTGTATGGGCTTGACTGCCAAGCCTCATTCCTCGTCCCGAACATGATATCGAACTGAACTCACATGAGGTAGTGGACCGTGATGTTGAGCCCGAGCACATCCTCCCAATATACAGAGATCAGTTCGATACCATGAAAATAAGAAATCACTCTGGAGAATCTAAGCTAGAAATCGAAACAAATATTAACAATTGATCAACATGAGTTTGCTTTATATATATAGTTGGGGAAGAAAAAAAATTATCACTTTGCACCTCTTCAGTTTCTACAGCATCTCAAACTAATTTAATATAACAAACTATTTACAACTAATCTACTGTCTAATTCTGTAAGCTCTGCAAGAATTTATAGAGAAGAAACTAAACGCTGAAAAATACATATGAACAAGTGGATTATGCATCTTGAAGCATGAGTGAAGCAGCAAACTAAACATCCTGGGCACTCTCTGTTATATCATCTCTTCGCTCCAATTTGCCAACGCAAAGAGATTTCTCTCCTTCATTCCATGAAGGCTGCATATATTAAAATCTCCAAGACCTGGACATTATAGCAAGCTGTTTTCCGAGATAGCTTAAACCTTAGTTGCTTTGAAGATAACGCATCACTCTGTGGGACGTGGAAACTCTTACCTCCGAGTGACCTTTGTGCTGCTGCTATCTATTTGCAACTTTCAGGAGGGAAAGAATCTCCACATCATTGAGGGCTAATTCTGAGACAAGGTGACATGGGGTCTTGCCTTCAAGATCAGCAATGCGTGGGTTGGCCCCCCTGTTCAAAATAAATCATATTGGTCAGATAAAGATGATTTAAAATATACAAATGATACAACTGTGTAGTTGGTTACACAGGACAAGACGATCTTGATCATTAGTCTGATGGTTCAAACATAATCATAGCTAAGTTCATTATTGATCCAAAAACATATAAATCCCCCTCAAATTTGAGCAAAGTATTACTGACCAAAAAGTTGGAAGTGCAAGTCTAATGTAGTTCCAAAAAGACGTGCAGGAAGGGCAAGAAATGAGAAAAGGGAGAAGAAGTGCAGAAGAGAGACAAAGAAAGAGAGGTAGAATGAATAAGAGAAAGAGAGAGAGAGAGAGAGATTAATTCATAAAGTATAAAGTATTCGTCAAGCTTTATTCCAAACAAAATAACAAGAGTCCTATTTATAGAGTTAGAGATCAACAAATCTTTTTAAACTGTTGCAGCAGGCAGATCAGGGTGGGCAGGTTAGATACTCTTATGAAACGGTCACTGAAGACTAGACTCGGGAAAAAAGCTGATTGTTTCAACCACAACACATCAACATCCAAAGTTGAACTAAACGAGAAATTCAAGAGAACCAACTTTAATGCAAAAAACAACTTCCTCAAAAGAAAAGAGTTTTACTGTACAAGTGAATGCTAAAAGCTAAGTTGCGCGGACTCTACACTTTCGGTGAGCTGCAACTGCGTCATATCATGTTTAATCACCTCTCTAAATACTTCTTCGGTCTACCTCTACCTCTCTCAGGGTCGTTTGGTGTGAGGGATAAAAATAAATAGTGATGGGATAAAAATTTTGTAACTTGTTTGGTTACCATGTTTGGGATAACTTATCCTGTCATTTATATCACAGTGACATATACATGATAGGATAAGTTATCCCAGGATAGCTAACCCCGGGATAACTAATCCTGGGATAACTTGTTCCCAACCAAACGACCCCTCAATACTTCTTCGCTCTACCTCTACCTCTCTCAATACTTCTTCGGTCTACCTCTACCTCTCCTGAATCCATCCATAGCCAACCTCTCACACCACCTGGGGGATTTTTGTTTCTCCTCATCACATGCCCGAACCATCTCAACCTCGCTTCCCGCATCTTGTCTTCCACCGAAGTCACTCCCCACCTTGTCTCGGATATCCTCATTTTGAATCCCATCTCTTCTAGTATACCCACACATCCATCGTAGCATCCTCATCTCCACCACTTTCAGTTTCTGAATGTGAGAGCTCTTGATCTGTCAACACTCCACCCCATTTAACAAAGCTGGTCTAACCACCACTTTATTCATTGAAGCATTTCATTGAATAAAAAAAATACACAATTTTGCATTGAGATACTTCACATGATGTATCAAGTATAAGTTACGGTTCTGAGTTGTAACTAATTCTCACAGAGGCAGCTTCATGAACTAAGCTTAACTTGGGATTAGAAGTCCGACCACCCATGAGATAGGTGGAGTTTCCCAATAAAGCACTCCCTTGGCATATGCGAGATATAAATATTCTGAATGTGGGCACAATAGTTGTGGACTCCCATGACTTCAACAAATAAAAATTTATAGAATGTTCTGGTACATGCCATTAACATCGAGCTCCTTCGGAACTTTTGTGAATATCCAAACATTAGTTTGTTTCGCAAACTTAAAACTGAAGATATACAAGCATAAGCTTCTAGGTTGTGAGAGAAAGAACTATGGTAAGTGAGACAAGCATAAGTGTGTGCTTGCAGGGTATAGAGACAAGCATAAGCGTGTGTGCATGCATCAGAATGATGGTTAAACACAAAGTACCCCTTTTATCTTTACTTATAAGGATTAACAGCGAACTTAAAAACAAAGAATTACCTCGCAAGTAACAGTTTGGAAGTTGCAGTTCTTCCTCTCATAACACTATGATGCAGTGGGGTCTGACCTCGTGAATCACAAGCATTTATGTTGGCACCATGCTGCAGAAGCAGCTCCACCATGCCAATATCAGCAGTTTGGCAAGCTAGGTGAAGTAAGGAACAGCCATCAAGAAATTCAGCAATGCAATGCTCTTCACTTTCACTTTGTGGGTTAAATGAGCTTGAACTATCACTGCCTAAAAAGATGATGTTATAATCAGGTTTTGTTCGAATCAGAACAAGTCTCTAGATTTTGAGACGTACCAGGTGATGCTTCTTCCCCATGGACTGCATTAACATCAGATTGGTAGACCACAATGAGACGATATACAGCTTTCTTGTCATTTGCACGGACACCTTCCCACAACTGTTCTGCAACCGAAAGGAGGTGTGTAGTGTCCTTCACCTTGTGAATGAAACGTTTTTCTGCGTACTGCAACCAGAAACAGACATAGCAAACATACATTAATTCACATTTAACCAGAAAAGCTAGCTATAGAGATTTGAATTATTTAGGAAGAGTTCTTTCAGTTACCACGTGCAGACTAGTTGCACATAGGGGAGCACCATTAGTACTACATATTCATTTGCACACAAAAATGCCACAGAAGGCCTCTATACACTGTGCTGAGAGCTTGAGATAGGCAACACATCTAAACTGTACGAGATTATTCACATATGAATAATGTCTGTGTAACGCAGATATGGATACCAGAGTCGGGTAAGAAACAGAGTCGCACAACAGAAAAGATGAACATTTTGAAACATAGAGGGATATAACCTCATTCGAACAAATATTTCAACTTTATATATTATTTGTACACGGTCTACTACATACCAGCAAAAGATGCTAATAGTTGTGCATAACATACTTCATCAATTTCATAGTCATAACATGCATGATCACCAAATATTTAATTAACTAAGATCCTTTGATTTTACCAAAATAAAAAGACGACAAATGTCAAGATTACGTAACAAAGAAGAGTCTCAATTTAACCTAGAATAAAATATTTACAGTATATTTTTTTGCCTAGGATGGTTCTTTTCTTCTTTAGTCTTCAGATCAAGTCATGCTTCTAACATAAACTGCAGGCGTAATTTTGTAACTTTTGTGGTATCACATAAGTTCTTGAGAAATATAAGAAATTAGGAGAACATCAGAGAGAAAATGTTTGACATCCATCTTACATAGCAGAATGTGCAATGTCCTAGACCACCGATCTCTTCTATTAGCTTTGAACTGGGAGATAATACCAGAGAAAAGCAACTAGATAAACTATAGGGTCACTCTTAGGCCTAATGTGCAATGTCCATAAACCTGGACACATTAAGGGCAAACCAATTGAAAGAACTGGAGTAATGAGCTGATGATGTCAGCTTTAATTGAGAAAGAAAATTACAAGACGAGCAACCCCTTGAAGAGATTGAACAGACGGCAAAGGAAGTAGCTTAACTATTCGGAGAAGTACCTTTGCATGAATGAATCTCTCCTTTACTGAAATATGATCAGCATAACTGGGTTTTCCAAAGAACTCTTTGTGTTTTTCAGACTCAAAAAACCGCATTGGTATTTCATCAGCCTGAAACGTTTTTCTTGCATGCAACAGCTCCTCCCAAACAGAATTCACGAACACATTACCCAGTGCCTCGAAAAGCGTTATGATTGAAGGCCCCCACACTTTAACATCAAGTTTCAAAGATCTTACCTACAATTCAAAGTTGAAAACTGTTAGATAATTTCAGAAAAGGAAACTTCATCTTTTGCATGATCATCTGTCACAGGTCTATAAACTATTATTTTTTAAGCAAGTGAAGTGCTTAACAAAGGACAAACTATTCTAAATCTAAACAAGAAAGGGGAAAATGGACAGAATACTGCATTGTCATTCAGCAACATGATTCTCTTGTCTCATATTATAGCCTTTCTCTTCGGATATGCTGCAGAAAATTAACATAAAATGCAGTTAAGGTCTTCTCTTCTCACTTCCACTTTACTCTGGTTTACTGAAATTCATATTTTGTACTCAAGTTCTGTCATTCCGATCATAACTTGATTTGCGGCTTGCGCTAAATACAACTACAACAAAAAAACTGGAGGATGAAAAGAGCCAAACTTTCTTCTTTTGACAAGTGTAAATTTGGAGAAAATAAATATTTTAAAAACTCAAACTAAATGAAGAAACGATTTCACAATGACAACAAGGAGAATTATCAAGTACAACCCTCAGAAGTTTAAACACGATAAGATCAGACTTCATTTAGAATTTTAATTGTGAACGAAAGTTCACTCCTCACCAATTTTTTCATGTATCTAGGTATTTCAAAAATTTCAGCAGCAAAAGAAGAGGTCCGATCTATCATCAAGAGATTATGTGGTTAAAACTGAGGTATCTAGTTCCTTTCTTCTTTTGGAATGGGTCTCCTTTAATTTTTACACAGAAAGATGATACATATACTTGTAAAAGCTCTAACAGACAATTACACAAGATGCACATGGTTAACTTGACAGCAGGACTTTCTATTCCCACACGAAATGAGAGAGGTTTAAGAAGATTAAGTTTCTGATTATGCACACAGAAAGAAACTTAGGTGCAAAATGTAACTAAGTTGGCTTGCCTTGGATATATGTACACCAAAGTTCCGGTGAACACCAGAACATTCAATGCATATAAGAAGTCCAAGATTTAAAGAAGCCCATTCTGGTCCAGGAGCACCACAATCAGCACATTTATCATTCCCAGGTATCCGTTTTAGTGCTTCAACTGGTTTCTCTCTTTTCGTGCTGAGGATGTGCACTGAACTTTTGGATGGGCGTATGAAAGATCTACCAGTAAGATCCCTCCCAGATGTGTACTCTTCCATTGCTCTTTGATCATGGTCAATTGGACTTCCTATAGAACTACTTTCACTAATGGGACTACCAGAGAAATGCTGAACACCAAAAAATCATATTATCAGATATAACAACAAAAATAAGGAAAGGAAGACTCATATACTTATTTTCTAGTTTACCCTTTCAGGTGTCTGGGAAGTTAGCAATGAAGTAATAACTCCTGTTATTTTTTCTATCCAGTCCATTTGCTCCGCTGCACTCTCTGCCTGAATAGCCAAAGGATATATCTTTACTAAAAGGTTATTGTTGATTAGAAATCTAGGTTGAAATCCAGTTCTCTTACTACAGCCCAAAGAATTATCAGGATGCCTCAGGCATTTACCTGCAAAGTATAATTCTTTGTTGGTGAAATTATTCTGAAGCAAAATCTCAGATCAGACTGATCTGCATCTGCTTTTATTGTTGATGTCAGTAGGTTCACTGTGTGACGTGCAACAGCTTTTTCCTCATGTACACCTCCATGATAATGAGAAGAAAGCCAACGACTCAGCAGTCCTGATCCCGGTTCTGGGGAAGAGCATCTGTTTGAAAGGAGTGGGCTGGCAGAACCCTGAAACTGCATTCTCCACATTTGAGCAGGTCTATATAATAGCTGAAAGAACTTGTGACAAACATTTAGTTCGATGACTTACAGATGGCCTGCTCAATTGTTTTCGATAGTAGTACAGCATTCCTCTGCTATCTAGAACAAAGAATCTTCTCTTCCAGTCACCTCTGATATTAGAAGAACGCTTTGACAGGTATCCTTGTTTTATAGTTTGTACCTAAACTATTGAAATCTTAGCTAAAGAAATGAAAGGTAGAATTTTCTTTAAAAGGAATACTGAATATCGTAAGCAGTAAGAGAATGTTATTTGCTAATAGTTGTAGCCAAATGCAGGATTGTACTACATACCTTTCCTTCAGAAGCAGATTGCATGACTGCTTCAATAAGTTTGTGAGAACTCCTGGAAAAAGGTTGTGTGACGTCACCATTTGTAGACCCATTGAACGAACATCTCCTTTCTTGATCTATTTTCCTTTTGTACTCTTGCATCCTCTCATTGAGAGCTGCCTGCTCATACATGGAACTTTCTCGAGCTTTTTGTGAATAAGCCAAGACCTGAAACAGAACAGCATCCCTCAAAACATATAAAAACTATTAAAAGATGCCATAAGCATACAATGAAAATTAGTAGTATATCACTGAAGTAATTCCACGTATGCTACATAAGTAGAGTGTAATAGTAGATGCACAAATAATGGATCCAGCAGCTGACAATTGAAACTATAACAGAAGAACTTTATCATGCAGAGTCACAGACAACCAAAAAAAGACGAACTAAAATCAAATTAGCTATTAATGATTGAGAAACTAAATTGCCTCATCTGCCTATCTAGTAATCTTGGGGTCGGTAATGGATTCAGAATTCATGCAATTATCTCCTGAATTTACAAGCTTGTGCTTGGACCCTTTGTAACTTCAATGCCCAAAACCATTAATTTTTCTTTGATCAAGATCCAGCGAAAATGAATAAAAATTTAGTCGAGGCTTCAAGAAGCACCAAAACGGGGCAATGTGGAGCTTCCTATGATTTGGCAAATGTTCAATCTACGAAGGCATTGTTTTATGGTGGGCAACGGCGCAAATCAAATCTGAGCAAAAAACTGATAGACCAGCAGTAGACTTTTGAAGTTCGAGGTTTGGAGAATGCATGGGTTAATGACTTCTGGGTACCACTATACCACTCTTTCCTACACTTCAATACGCAGTTAGTGAGTCACAAAATTGGTAAAAATTCTAAAATCCATTTTTTCCCTGAAAGATCTAAAAGCAAACTACACATGCATGCAATTTACCATGTATTGTGTTAATACCTACAAGATCAAATGAACTGCACATCAAGCAAGATGTTTCGAAGGGAAGGAAGATGCTATACAGAAGATGTATACGATTTGGACTATTCGGGGCAACCTACAAGATGCCAAAATTGAAATTCATAGATTCTCTACAGGAATAATACTCTGTACAGAAGGAATCCGTCCTTTTCGTTTATTGTATTGGGAGATTTCCTTTCTTGTAATGTCCTGTCCTAGCAACTTCTAAATGTGAGGCTGTTTATTTTTCTTATTATTAATATGATCAAATGCACTGTGCTGTAAATGTTGCTTTTGTAATATAATTATAATATTTCTTTGTAAAAAAACAATACGCAAGTGGCGGAACACAGTCCAAGTTAACTTGCCTTGATTACTTTGTGGCGATTGCGTAACAGTAATAAAGTCTTCAGTGTAAGACATGTGAACGTTAACTAATTTCAGTGATATCTAACAATTAGAATTTGAAATAGGTAGTTTATCTATATAGAACTGTAAATTGGAAGGATTGCGGATAAAAAGGATTACGGATGCCAAAAAGAGAATATTTGTCATGAAGGTAATAAAAAGGAATGAAAAAGAACCCAACAATTCAGTTTCATGAAGGTAGCACATTATCATCCATTCCCTCAAGCAAATTGGAAGGCATCATGGGAAAAGGGTATTCACAAAAAAACTGTTTCATCACTAGCATCTAACCTGGCTGATATAAGGCTCCATTTGATGCAAAACTTCATACCCCTGTGCATCACGTAATATCTCGAATTCAGCATGATGCATTCATTAATATCAACAAGCATAAGATTTCACCATTTAAAACTTTTTTTCCACTGAAAAAGAAAAAGGAAAAGGACCTGTTTGAAAAACCGAAGATGACTGTCCATCATACTGCCAACAGCTTCCAAAAATTCATACTTCTTTTTGGCCTCAACCGCAGAAAGAGCACCGACCTGAACTTATGAAATATTTCAACAATTATATTATATTGCTATTTGTTGCATCACTATTTGATACCGACTGCCAAAGAATTGTGCACACCAGATTAAAGCGGGCTTGCTCAAAGCTCAACCTTGCATTGTAAAGTTCCTGGAAGGACTACCAAATTAGATGTTGCCTGACAATGGTTACCATAGAAACTACCTGATCAATAAACAACATAAAAGGATAGTGTTTATGGATTATAAGAAGAACCGATGTTTGTTACCTCCTCAATGGCTGCAGCTATATCCATCCTAGTACTTTTCCTCAATGACAAAAACTTCTCTCGAACCTAGATGATAAAAGCAATCATTTTAATGTACATCAAAACAAAGAACCAAGTACCATCATGTTAATTTTCGAACTATTTCAACTTCTTTTCAGAAAGCTACAACTCAACAAATGTGAAGATGTTTCTAAAGGTTTAAAGGTCATAGAAGCAAGATGTGGAAACGCCATCCGGTGTTAATCTGTTACCAAGGGTATAAAGATCTTGTACCCGGTTGGCCTTAGTTCCGAGAAGTAGACACCCAAAAACTCTTTTTCTTCAAAATGTAACTCAAAAAAGATTGTATGAAATGAGTCCAAAAGGAGCAAACATATATTGATGATTCATATAGTCGTCCCAACTTAGTTTGGGATTTAGAAGTTAATCATTATTGAACAATTTTAAAAGGATTAATGTCTTAATATACCAAAATCTGTTGCTTAAAATAATCTGAAAAGATAAGGATACATGTCAAAGACAACAGGAAAGTCTTTTACAACAAAGAGCAAGACCATGGCTAATTCAAAATGACACATTAACATGCACAAACATTGTTTGGACTTCAACAATCAAGGTTGTCACTTAAGTTACAGGATTTAGGAATACTAACCAATCACAGAACAGAAAAAAGCAGCCACTGGCAAACAAGATAATATTGATTATTAGAATATTAGGTACATAAATATCTTGCTTTCAAGTTTTCAATACTAGTAAATTAGTAATTCCCGCTTTTTTACTTGACATATTATTAATTACTGCCTCCCCTATCCTTTTGAAATGGTATTTATAGGTTCTAAGTTGAGTCTGCTATTTCAAAAGAGAAAGTACAATTAGAAAAACAGAGAACAATTAGGTACAATTTCAACAGAAAGTCACTCCATTGCAAGTTTGTATTTTTCAATTTAAATGGGTAATTATCCAAGAATATAAAGCTCAACACACGACAGATAAAAGATTTGACTAGAGAGACATTGTATCCACCTGATCATAAGCAACATTGGCTTTGTCAAAACGCTTCCGAGCTTCCTGAAAGTAATGAAAATTCACATAACATCAAAATACACGTGTTAGGTCTTTGAGAATACACTACAAGTGGTTGAACTACAAAAGGAGCAAGAAGAGAGATCTGTACATATATTTGCATAACTGAGATGTAAGGTTGATTGGACAATTGGGTGGGATAGAGTTCTGCGAGATCATGTATGGTCAAGTATGGAACAAGTCAAAAACTAAACCATCGAAATCATAGGCAAGTCCTACCCAAATGATAACTAGTTACTGTCAGCATCTTCTCCCCCTCCCCCCTTTTATTTCAATAATGATTAGTATAAATGAGATGCTTCAAAGGTTATTCAATATCTCTAGTGGAGCAGAAACTATCTATATGTTGAAACCAGATAGCTGATATTCTTAAAAAATCTATTAAAGCAACCCTAAAAAGCTATAACATTGTAGAGTTCCAGCTAGTTGTCTTGAAAGAATAATGGGCGTTAAACTTAGAAAATAATCCCAAAACAAAGACACTGCCTTTTTCTAATCTTAACTCCTTAGAAACATTCAGCTTCAAAGGTTATTCAATATCTCTAGTGGAGCAGAAACTATCTATATGTTGAAACCAGATAGCTGATATTCTTAAAAAATCTATTAAAGCAACCCTAAAAAGCTATAACATTGTAGAGTTCCAGCTAGTTGTCTTGAAAGAATAATGGGCGTTAAACTTAGAAAATAATCCCAAAACAAAGACACTGCCTTTTTCTAATCTTAACTCCTTAGAAACATTCAACTATTTCTTTTTCTATCTGATCCAGTTTAATTATTTCCTATTTCTTTTTTTTTTCTAGGTATCAATTTGACAAATTCTCAAAACAAAATCAATGAGCATCAAGTGTAGTCTTTTGAAACCATCGATTAAACATTTACGAACCAAATTACAGATACTACAAATTAGTTTGTTGTTTAAAAAACACACTCTCTTGATTCATTTCTCAGTCTACGGAAGAAAATTTTCGCACCTAAAAAAGAATGAAGCTCAAGTAGCTGTCAAACAGAAAGCAAAAGGGCTTTCTACTTTGATCAGGTAAGGTTTTCTGCTCTTAACATGCTTGTTCTTACTATCAATACACAGAGTGTAAGAGTAGTGCCCAAAGAGCTAATAGAGAATTTGGCTACATCTTGTCCTTTCTCAAATTTAGTTGAAGGCCTGAAATCTGACAGAAGCTTTAGTCAGTGTTAAGACGAAGTTACCTACTGAGTTCCCTAGCATGCGTACATTATTGCTCCTTCCTTCAACAACTTCTACAAAATCGAGCCATCCCCTTCAGTTGCTTTTCAAGAAGCATTTCCTATCCACATGGAGGAATCCTTGTCTAAACTTATTCTGATAACTCGGTTCCTTCTTTTCTCTATTAATTTGAATACCAGCTACTCCATCACTTAAATCTATTAACTCTAAGATTTGAACCCAACAAAGAAATACAAGAGGGAAGACCTTGCCAATGGTTTGATTTGCATTTGGTTGAAGCATGAAGCCTGGTGGAAACTTTAGTCAGTGTTCAGAGTGTCATTAGAAGCTCAGACTATCATAACGACTTCAATTATGCTACTCACCCAACCAACGAACCATTGGGCAGGTTACAGCAACAGAGGTCAAAACACCAACCATATACCTATATTCAAAGCTTACTTTGAAGATAATCCTACTCTATTGTTTTCATTCTCTCATAAACAGAACATATAATAACGTGCACAAGCATATGCTTTAGCCCAGTAGGACAGGTTCTACAAACATCCATACTTCAGAAAATAAAGTTTATGCAAGGTTGATTAGCTTACATGTCAGTTCATCTACAAAGTATTTTGACTGACCAATTTTGGTTCATCACTTTATTGTTCATTTAGATGCTTCCTTCTATATGCATCCAGGAAGATGAAAATATATACTGACAAAATAAGGAAAAGTACTTGCACCAATGGGCAATGAAACATCCTAGTAAATGTGCTTCATAAGTAAGAATTAGCCGAAGTACCCAAAAGACTAGATTTTCTTATCTGTACAAACTTTCTCTACATAATGGACTACAAGTGAAAGTAGTGAGTATACCTTTACATCTGGAAGATCAATGGTTGCTAAATGCAGTAATCGATCATTTAATATACGCTCTACCTAAGCAAGACACAGAAAAAATGCCAGTCAAATGAAATAAACAAGGCGAAGATATTTCAAGGCACACACAGTATAAAGTAGACATTGGAATGGAAAAGAAAAAAGTAAATTAGACTTAAAGTCTAGAAGAGCAATAATACTCCTAAAACAAGTTGGCATGAGAAAGTTTGAACACATTAGATGTGTCCAGATATCATTATTAAATAAATAAAAGTATCTCCTCTAGTCACATAATTCAACATGATAACAGAGCAGGCTCGCATGTGAGAGAGCGTGTAAAAAATAATTATTTAATTAGAAGTGTCCTCCGTCCCTGTAGTAGTTTAAACTTTAACATGAGGTGGCCACTCTATCTACAATATGATTCTACAATTTTACCAAACAATTCATGGACCAGTACTAGGATATGGATTACATCCATGCAGATATAACAACTGTTAACAATACAAATCATTTGATAAACAGCATAATAGTTTTTTTAAAAGGAAAAAACTGCATAATAGTTGAAGTGCAGATATGGGGGGAAACTGATACCTGTGACCGAAGAACTTCCTTGTAGGTTCCAATTTCTCTCAGAGCGATAGCAAATTTGGCCATATCAGGGCCTATGAATGCAACTTGCATTTAGTATAATTGGGGAAGTAAGACTTTGCATTAATTCTTTGTTGCAAAAAAGTGTTGCTTTATGTGGAAATGGAAAAAAATAGAGAATTGCAAATGAATGCACGTGAGTTAGATAAGTGCAGCCAAATATGCCAATCCAAGTCGTTAACCTTCTAACGTTTAGCAATTATATAGGAACATCACAATCAATGAGAAACAATCAGTCCCCTATTGAACCTATAGGTCATAGACATTTTCTGTTTTGGATAAGGGACCTATAGGTAATCACTTCTAAGTTCAAAGGGTTCATAACTGAATTCAAAGATTTGAGGCCCTTCTAGAAATCATAATCTAGAATACATGTGCATCTTTGAAAGTTGTGCTTTTCTTTGTAATATGCATATGCATACCTTTTGCACGAAGGAGTCCCCTAGCATACCACAGCTCTGACACTGTGTAACCACCATTTAGGATATATTACCTTTATAAAGCATCCACGATGTAAAGAGTTGAACTTGTTCAACAAACTTAGGATGTGAGGTGATAACATGAGGTCTCCCCTCCTTCGTATTTTTCCCCTTTTAATATTAGTGTACATTAAGGGTCAATTCCTAATAGGGGTGGGCATAAACACCGGAAAACCGAAAAACCGAACCGAACCGAATTATTTTGGTAATTCGGTTTCGGTATTTCGGTTTTCGGTACATGGTTTTGTATTTTTCGGTATTTCGGTTCGGTTTTCGGTATGCAATTTTTGTGTAATTCGGTATTTCGGTTTTTCGGTTTACCGAAATATATTAAATTATAATATATATTAATATTATATTAATTATTAATATTTAAAAATAAATATTATAATTTAAAATTAAAAACAAAAGATTGTCTTTTCAAACTTTTCAACTTTACAAACCCACTTCCCAAAAGGCAAAAATTACCGTTCCCACTTCCCACGTCTAGTCGTCTACAGACTATAGCAGCGTCGACCGTTCCGGCGACCAGCAGCATGCAGCAGCTGCCAATTGACCAGTAGGCAGCCGTAGCACAACAACGACCGGTAAATTTCAATGTTATACAAGGCTAAATTTCAATGTTAACGATAATTTATTATTTTGAATCATACAATAATTTGAAAAACAGAGTAAAATAAGCAAAAAGAAATAAACATAAATAAAATAAACAGAAAAATTACAAAATTTTAAAAAGCCCACTAAGCAGGCCCATAACAAAAAACCGAAATAACAAAAACCGAACCGAAATAATAAAAACCGAACCGAATTATTTCGGTTCGGTGTTCGGTACACGTTGTACAAGAACCGAAAACCGAAAAAACCGAAAAAAAAAACCGAAACCGAACCGAAATACCGAATGCCCACCCCTAATTCCTAACCCCCACCACCACCCGCATCACCACAAGGAGGATTTTATTATAGAGAGTTTAAAAAGTACAAAACTTATAGAAAACATTTTCCTTCATACCAAACACACCCTAAATACCAAACAATCTGATCTGAAAAGGTAAAGAGAGAATAGGAAACCTCCATATGCAACAGAAATGGGATCATTACGCCCTCCACTAAAGATTTCAAGTGAACTGGCAAAAGCAATGTCTCTATCATATGCCTCTCCAAGCCCTTCTCTGTAAATAGGAAACAAAAATGAATGAGCTCATAGCAAAATGTTAGTGCATATTTGGATTACCATGGAAACAAAATTTATGCAGAACTACTTGAGAATTAAGATACTGCCTTTTTTTTCCCAGTAACATCCTTGAAATGAAGCTTGTAGGAATACTAAACACTCCTTCCTATAAGCACAGCCCATAATGGTGCAATATACCTCTATGGTCAATAGGTAGAAGATAAATATATTTTTACATTATAACGGCCGGTTTAAAGGAAACTGTAGAAAGATACAGTCAGAAAGAAATAACAACTGCCAAGGAACTTCACGAAATACTATAACTTAATGAACCATAGTGGCAAAGCAGAGGCCCCCGATGTATGTTAGCCTGTCCTTAGTTGTAATTTCAGACCCGCTGCCGAAAGAGAAAGCAGGAGAGAAATACACAGACTGGTATACGACCATGATATCCCTTGCTGAAAAAATCAATTGTGAATCAACTTCGCTGACAAGCAATCTTTGTGAAACTGATTCATGCCAACTGCCAAATGATTCATCAGGCAACTAACATAAAAGATGATGTAGCCCAGAAATAGAGAATCATGCGACTTAAATATGAATTAGTGGTTCGAAATAGAGAATCATCTGAAGGAACGAAATAAGGTTTTAAGAAGGAAGTGTATTGTGAGAGGATGGTTTAACGAGAGCTTAGGTTACAGCTTGCATGTACAGAGATTAAAATGGACAGCTGTCAAGTCAGTTATAGTGTTAGAAAACAAAGATGAGTAAAAATAATATAATACATTCCCATCATTTTACAAGACGAGGCAATGAATAGGCAGAAATTGATATATCCAGATAATACATCTGCATTGGATGTTCCCTCAAATTTTAAGGTAGATAGTATGATATTGTTAAAGAAGAGCTGTGGATTTACAATGTAAATCCACTTGTAAGACTTCCCTTGAGGGAAAAAAAACTGCTCCAGGTCATGTTAGAACTTCAGGTTTACACTCTTCTAGCATCACATCTTCTCAAGGTTATCCAACTAATATATGGTATTAAAAGGTTTAAATTAAATGACAAGCTGGTAGCACAAAAGCTGAAGAAAGCTATTTCCCTAATTAATCATGCAAATTATGGTTACATGTATGAGTCTTATGACCAGGCATCCTAAAACTTTATGGGATCAATAATATATTAATTGGAATATTCTCAGAATTTGTGCCTCGTTTGTTGGAACTAAAGAATGAAGCTACTACATTTTTGGTGGAACTGAATTCCTCCGTCTAAGTAACAGCACTGGTTGTTGCAGTGGACAGCTGTACACCCTTCTCACCTCCAATTTATACATCATAATACTTGCTAACGGACTGTCCTGTGCAATGTTACATATGATAATAAATTGATAGAGCAGGATAAATAAACTTACGTGTACTTTCGACATCCTTTATAATACTTTAGACATTTGTCCCTCAAAGTCTCAGAACTTTCCTCCAATGATTGGATCTGTTCCACCACCACAAACAAAATTTAAGGACTTCAACTCATGGTAAAAGAACATCAACAAAAATATGTGCAACTACTGTTGCATGAATACCAATCTCAATGTATATATCACATAAATACCTGCTTGACCAGCTGTGTATGAACACACTTACTTGCAGAGGTGTTAAGCTAGTTATAATAAGATATACTAGCCCTAGATTATATGTCAGTTTGGCATATCATCAAACAGATCTATAGAATCATTCCTATTGAATGAGTGGGTGCTACACCTATCATCTAACCATGGGCTATATACCACAAATCAGCTTAATTGTAGCAGTTGACATCTAACAAAATATAATTATACACTCGTTCAAGGAAGAATATTTCAGCTAAAGCATAACTTGCTTCTCCTTGGTTGTTGATGATACACTTTGGTAAACTATCCCAATCCTCATAGTCTCAGGGTTTATTCCAGACAAACCAGATTCCTCAAAGCCCAATTACAGTCCAAACAACTGTCCGATAAAATGCTAAATCAACAGCTTACTATGTTTCACTTTTTAAGACCATGTAACTTGAGACAAAATAAATTCCATTTAAAGGATAAGGGAGACAAGAAAACAACAGTGTCTGCATAAATATAAGTGCAAAAACAGCATCCAAGGTGTGGTTTAGAGGTCAATGAGGTAGGTAACAAACTTTAAGATCAGGGGTCAAATTCTAGTGGATACAAAAAACACCTCAACACCATATAATCTATTCTCATATGTGTAAGCTTTGGTGAACATAGTTAACCGATATCTACATTGGTGGCATGTAGCAAGTTTCCACATGCTAGCTAGCCAAGACACCACTGTAATAAAAAAAGAAATATATATATATATATATAAGCCCCCAAAATATTAATTGACTGACAGAAACCTCAAATAGTCAAAATTGATTAGGCATCCTGCATCATAATGGAGTTATTTCTACCGTTAAAATAGGCTAAGCTGATAACACAGACAGGAGGGTACCATCAAATATGGCAACTTTCTTGAAATAAAATCAAGAATCAAGATTGAAATTCTTTACCTGTTGACGAAACATAGGAGAATCATCGATTCTGGCGAATAAAGTCTTCCCTTCTTGCATCTTATGAGTTTCTTGATTCACATTCGAATACCCAAAAAGAAAAGAAGTTCAATAATCAAGATACCCAAAAAAGAATGATTCTTATGATTCACATTCGCATACCCAAAAAGAAAAAGAAGACTAACAATCAAGATTTCCAAAAAAGAATGGTTCTTGGAAAGGGAAAAAAAAGTGATTTTGAAGATAAAATAAGATGAAAATAGTACGGGGGTTTTGATGTTTTGAGGGAGAAAATGGAGGAAAACAAATAAATATTGCTGGAGAAATGGTGCGATAATTCATGGCTGTCATTAAAATACTATTAGTCTCTCTCTTTCTCTCCGTTTAAGGAGTTCGGTTTTGATTTTTACAAAACGCGCAGAGAATGAGGAAATTGAAGCACGGTACGAAATACGGAATTTGTTAATCATTTTAACTGTCTGTCTATATTCGGTATGGCCGCCATCTTCCATTCTTGCTTGTCCACCACTATTCACTTTTTTATATTCTACTAACAAAAATATTGTTTGTTTGGTACACTTAAATAGCTGGAAATGGCTGGAATTTGAAATGCTTTTATAAAGAAACTAGTAAAATCATCCATTTAATATCACTGAATTTATAAAATAAATACTTAAAATCTATGAGTCATTAAAATTAAAACACTAATTATCTTACATATAAAAAACATTAATATTGTAAGTAATTTCTTTTTTGAATATGTTAACAATTTTTTGATTTTTTTCCTGAGACACATATCACAATTGTAAAATCTATGCAACTTAAATGTGTTTTTGTTCTTACGAAATGCCTTTGTGTATATATATATTCTTATTTTATTCTTTTTTTTTCTTTTAATGTTGATTAAAGAACTAATGATTTATTATTTCCTGAATAATTCATTCATTAAATGTTCTTGAGTTATGTGATAATGACAAATAATAGTATAGATCTTTAAGGAATTTTTCAACAATTTTATGATCAGTAGAGAAAATTTGTGTGAATACTCAACTAACGTGTGTTGTTTAATTTGTACTAACAAATACTTATAACAATAACTTTGCAGAAACATAAACAACAAAGTTAAAAATATCTACTCAAAAATAGCAATTAATAACATAAGTATAAATTAATACGGTAAAAAAAACATACCATGATTTGTAACAATAGGATGAAACAGAAAGGAAAAAATTGTACACAAATATTTAATTGTGCAGGTTAAGAAGAAGAAGTTCAGAATTTTTGATGTTTTAAAATGAGAGGAAATCTCTCTATTTATATCTAGACAACATACGGTAGTGTGAACAAATATTTATTGTGCCTTATCGAAAAGGTCACAACTCTTTGGAAAAGTTACAACCCTTCGGAATGGTCATAACCTTTAATACTCCCTCCATTCCATATTAACTTAAGTTTTGAGGTGATTCACACCCTTTAAGAAAAGTAGGTTAGGACATAAATTGAACATAATTTTCCATTTTTACCCTTATTAATTATTGTCAAAAATAACTAAAAATTAATTATAATAACTAATTCCAATACTAACTTAAAGGGTAAAATTGGAAGAATATTTTAAAAATAGTCTTGAAGATTGAAAACTTAAGTTAATTTGAAAAGTGGAAAAGGGCTCAAAGCTTAAGTTAATATGGAATGAAGGGAGTAAAAGACAAAACTTTTCATAAAAGTTGCAACTCTTCATAGAAGTTTCAACTTTTCATAAAAGTCGCAATTGTTCATATAAGTCGCAACTTTTCACAAAAGTCACAACTTTTCATAAAAGTCGCAACTTTTCATGAAAGGGGAAAGCTAGTTTTGTAAATATATAAATTAAAAAAGGAATCTTGGTTTGTGGTGACACCACGTAGGCGGGCCTAAGATTCTTTTTAATATATATATATATGATTATTTGAGGGTGTGTTTAGTAGGAAAGGAAAATGTGTTCGATTGTAAAAAGAAGATTAAAGATATTTAGATATAATTTAGGCGAATATTATGATCTCGAATTTAGGCTTATGTGTCAACTCAATAAAGGACTAGACATTCCGATCTGACATCGATTGAGGATCCAATCCCCAATATTGACCCGAGACATGACCCTGACTACAACCCCAATGACGATTCAAGATCAAGATCCGACCACTACCTTGAGATCGAAATTGGGATTACTAAGACATGACACCCAACCTCGACTCGACCTCGACACCTCACTCTGAGACTCGACCCTGAGATCCGTTTTGACCTTAGACCTAACCCTAACTTGACACCTACCCAATTTTTGATTGAGTTTTTGATGGGGTTTTTGGTTTTGTGTCAATTCAGGTTTGGGTCCCGTGTCAGTTCAGAGTTAGGTCAGGGTTCAGATTGTGAATCCCAAGATAGTGAGAGGCTCATATTAAGACTTGGGCTGATCCCTAGATCGAGCCAAGCCTCAAATCAAGTGATCATGGATTGAGTCTTAAGTTAGTCGAGGGTGGGGGTGGGGTATGTCACATTACAATGTGGTAGGTCGAGGAGCTAACTGCACAGGGTTGGTGAATTTGGGTAGATTAAGGGCCTATTTGGAAGGACACCCTAGTAATTGGATTTGGTGTAATTACACTGTCTTGTCCTGTTTTGAAGGACATGTAATTACTTGGTCAACAGGTAATTGGTGTAATTGGCAGGGGGTAATTACATTTTACAATTCACAAGCAGAAGCTGTGAATTGCTGGTAATTACCACATGATTTCTTTTTCATTTTTTTTAATCTCTATTTTTATTTTTATTTTGTTTTAACTTTTTTTACTTCTATTATTTTTTAATTTCTTTTTATTTTTATTTTTATTATTCTAAAAAATTGTAAAAGTCTATTTTTTATTTTATATTATTATATTTCATTTTATTCTTGTTCTCAAATTCTATGTAATCTTCTCGTATTATCTATTTCTTTATGTCATGTTTATTTTCTCATTAGCATAATTTTATAGTATTCTAATTTTTAAATTAAAATACAATTTATTGTTAAGTAAGGTTATAGACTTACGTTTTCTTTATTATGAAGAAATAAAAATAAATCATATTTATTGCTATGTTAAAATTTGTTATAAGAGTATTATGTTAAATTTTTTGTTTTGAATTTATTACTTATGTTATATTTTCAGTTTCATTTGTTTTAGTAATATTGAATTTACATTGCACGTCATTTTTTAATTAGACTTAATAGATTATATTTTTGTCAAACATTTAATAATTTATGATATTTTATTTATATATTACTATTCTTTTTTATCAAACATGCATTTCACAATGTTCGTAAAAACTTCATACTTTTAATTGTTACGATCAATTCAATTGTAATATATTAATTTGAAAAAATATAAATCAATTATTTTTTCATAATATTAGTTACAGTAAATATGTTTATTAATTAATATATATTTTTTAAAAAGAATATATATATCTTATATTTAATTTAATGTCATTTATAAAATTTCTTATTTGTCTAGTATAAATTTTAAATGATTAATTTTTATTTTAAAAATTTATTATAATTTTATGATTGCAATTGTGCATCCAAATAGAACATGTGTAATTACACTGTGGCATTCAAACATGACATGTGTAATTACACGCCCTCGGAAACAAGAAGTTCTGGTCCGGGAGGGATAATATCAACCACTTGACGTCCCTCTGACGCATCCGTTATGGTTATCTCATACCCCCCTTTTTCTTTCCGTATGATTTTGCTTACTATACCTGTTGCCGTAGCATTATAAACTGTATTGTCTATATACAACTATCTAATTTTCTTCTATTATATGGTGATTATTTGGTCAGGATATATCTATCTTGGTTTGGATTATCAAAATAGATTGCGGTGGCTCCTAAAGTGAAGAAAGCCACTTTCCAATCAATTACGACTCCTCACTCAGATATTGATAGTGTCCGTGAAGTTCTTGAAGAAGTAATTACACTGTGACAACCAAACAGAACAGTGTAATTACTAGACTGTGTAATTACTAGGCTGGTAATTACTACCCTAGTAATTACACCAATTCCAATTACCTGGTGGCTTTCCAAACAGACCCTAAGTAGTGGGGGTGGGAAGGTTAGGTTGAAAGAAAATTTAGGAAAATATTTCCCCTCGCTTTTAGTAGAAAAGACATATTTCTTAAATTGAAGGAAAATATATTCATTTTAAAAATATCTAAACCAATTAAATATGAAAAAAATGAAAAATATATTGAACACACTAGAACAGTAACTTATATTAGCTCATTCTAAAACAATTCGTCTTTGCAAATTTGTCGATCTCTTTTAAATATTCTTAGCTATTTTAAAAATAAATTGTTATTAAAATTTGTGACTGGCAAGAAATTTAGCGTAGTTTTAAAATAAGCATTTGTTATTTCATTGCATACAAAATAATATTTAAATATTTTGATTGCCCCCAATTTAAAGTACTATCATTTACTTGTGTTAACACCGCTAACATTGATATTTCACCCATACTATTTTACACACACATCTTTAAACTTCGACTCTAATTTCAAAAGTTCAAATAAAGTGAATTTATTTTTTATTTTCATAGTCAAACGCTAATTAATTTTTGAATTATATTGTTACCACGTATATTAGATAATTATATACTCCATTTGTGAATTTTTTCCAAAATCTCTCGTATAAAAAAATTATTTCTGAGTTAAAAATCAATTATTATAAAATTAAAATAGATAGAAAATTTAAGGATAAACCCTAACAACCTTTTCTTTTTTATTGTTTACAATTTCCTTTTTTGGGTTTGCAAGGGATTACACGAATATTGTCAAAAGTTCAAACTCCTCCTCATTCCCTGTGCTTCTCTCACTGTTCATGAATGGTTAATTTGGAAAAAAATATTTTTTAGGTCGCTGTACTTGTCAAATTTGTCAAAATCAGATAGGTGTTGTTGAATCTTGATTTCTAATCATGAAGCGAGATCACTCAGAGCCTCCATCTTCAAGTTCTCTTGGACCTCCTCAATCCAAATTTAAGCACAACCCTGAAGGTAATTTTCTCCTTTTAATTTTAACACAAATCAATTTTAGTTGATTCTTATTTTTTACTTATAATATGGATACATTCTTGAATTAATTAACCCAATAAAGCTAGAGTTTTTGTTGTTATTTACTGTGTTGGCGGCTGGCGGGAGGTAATAGTACTTGATGAAATAGTCTGGGTGTGCGCAAGTTGGTCCGAACACCACAGTCAATCCAAAGTTAGAAACTTTACTTTTATAGAAGCACAAGTGCACAACCCAGAAGGTGGTTTTCTCATATTTTCTTGTAGGACAAATCTCAATTGATTATTTCCATTTATTTGTGTAGATATGGATACATCATATGTGTTCTCACTGTTGATTAGTACCCAAAAAGTTAGTGAATTTACTATTCTTAAGCATAACCTAGAAGAGAACATATTCTTTTAATAGAAACCTCATTTGATTTTATTAGTACTATTATTAGTTGTATAGATATGAATTTTTTGTTTTTTTTTTCATTTTTACATTAGTAATAAGCTTTACTGTCATTTTAGCTGCCAAAGTATTTGCTACAACTGGTGGAATGCCACAAAGCAATGTAACATGCTCTAAAGACTGAACTTGTGATGCAAAACTTTAGGACGTTGTTACTTTTGGATAAAAGAAGTTAGAAACTGGGTTTTTTATTGTGGTTGATTGTAAGTTTGAACTGGTGTCAGGCGACGCTCATTTTCTGGAAGATGAGAGCACAAAAATTTTTGCCAGGAAGGTGGCTGATCATTACAGTGCGAGGACCAACCAAACTCTTGAAGAGCGTGAAGCAAGTCCTATCATCCACTTAAAGAAACTTAACAATTGGGTATGTCTTCTTTATCCATGGGCATGGTTATTCTGCATAGTTCATTGCTAATGAGGTTTTCTGGCGTTTTAGATCAAGAGTGTCTTGATTCAACTCTATGCTAAAAGAGGGGATGCAGTTCTTGATCTTGCTTGCGGGAAGGTACCTCTTGCATATTGTATACCCTAATTATTTGGCATTACTTGAAACAATTTATAGGTGTTAAGAAACAAGTCCCCATGCATCTAATTTTCAATTTCTTTCTGCTGCACCAGGGCGGTGATCTCATTAAATGGGATAAAGCAAAAGTTGGATATTATGTTGGCATTGATATTGCCGATGGTTCGGTAAGTTCATCCTAGATGAATATATTTTTGTCGCTTTTTCTGCACTTTTATTGTGTTTGAGTGGGTTAGAGCCCCACATTAGTAAGGGAATAAATTGTTGGTCTACTTATATGAATTTGAGCAATTCTCCTATCGCGCCTCATTTTTCACAAAACAGGTTAATGCAACGACGTGACAACACTTTTAGGATTTAAAAGAGAAGAGTCGTCATCTAACAAATTAAAGGTGCGTTAGGGCACCATTCTAAACTAACTACCAAATGAATTGAATTAAAAGGTCAAACGAAATTAGTGATCAGGTAAGGGTTTAAATTACCACGAAAGGAAAATGTTAAATAACTTTCGAGGTCCACAAATGTGGGTCCCAGCCGTATCTCATATTATTATGTGGGGAGGTTAAACGAGTGTAATTTTTGATGGACTTTTTCTCAATATTGGATTGACTTTTGTGATAACATTGTTGAGTGATAGATTTGACATTGTAGATGGGGTATGTAAGTTGTTGATATGGAGACATTTGATATGGTACGAGAGGTGCATGATACCAAAAACTTTGGTACAAAGGTGTTTGATACCGAGGAGGCAGTGTGGTGAGATTCTTTAGGTATGGCGTAGGATATGTAGGTTTAGAGACACGTGTATGAATTTGGGGTGGAAATGGGTAATTTGGAGACTTGAGTATTCGTTGGAGGCATATGAATGAAGCTTGGTTGATTTTGAGGATAGGAAATAGGATGAGTTGACGGAGGATTATTTTGAAAAGTGGCTTGATTTGTGGTAGGACGGTCACCCATGCATGTCCTTAAAAAAGGGATCGACCAAAAATCTTAACTCATTTGCGCATACCAACTATTTTTTCTTCTAATTCTACTATCTTCTGCTTCAACTGTAAGATCAACTCATTTGAAGGATATTCCTCTTCAAAAGGTTCAACCATTTCCGTGATAACATTATTATCAATCATTTTTTTCTTTCCTTTGCGATTTGAACTAGGAGGAGAAGGAAGAGCACCTTTCGATCGTGTGTGGTAAACCATAGTGTACAGATCAACCTTTGGGGAAGAGTAGACAAAAATAAAAATCAACAAGAAACCAAGTCAGAACATTGAATACATTGAGATAATAAGAACATTGTTTTGCTAAAATAAATGTCTTAAATGCAAGGAGCCTCGTTGAGCCAGAGGTAGGCCTAAGACGACAAATAAGTGATGCACAATAATTAATTCAAGCCTTATTTTGCCAATTTGAAGCTTAGAGTCAGAAGAAGTAAAGAAAAATAAACTATTATTTATTGAATAAAATTAAACTATTACATCATGATAAGAAAACATAAACAAAAATAAACTAAGGGGAAAATGGGGTAACATGGAAAAGTAATCCTAGAAATTAGAAACTTCGAAGATATTGATCCCAAGAACTTGGCACATCTGCTCTCTTATATTTTTTTTGATAATAGTAACTGTGTATTCACACCAAAAAACCCATCAATCAAAAGCTGATGGGGTGGGATTTACAACCCCTAAGGGCTTCATCGAGATTAAAAGACTAGATAGGAGGCTTTACAATTGTCTTTTGAAATCAACTAAACTATCTATTTCCCCCACTATATCATGTTTACACCAAAAATACAAAAGACTTATACTCTTCGTCTTGATCTTCTGGAAACAGCTAGCTTTTCCTTCAAAACATCTTTCATTTCTCTCTTTCCATAAAGTCCACCAAACATATGCTGGGATACTTCTCCACCAATCTTCTTGTGATCCCCTTCTTCCAACTCCTTCCCAGCTTTTCAACATATCAAAGGAGGTCCTGGGCATTACCCAACTTATCCCAAGTAAACAGAAGAACATGTTCCACAGATTTTCAGCTGTTTTGCAATGAATGAACAAGTGACTATTTATCTCTGCCTCTTGCTCACACATAAAACACCTAGAGCAAATTTGAATACCTCTTCTCTGTAGTACTTCATGTGTTAAACAGGCTCTCCTGACCACCAGCCAGCTGAAACATGAGATTTTGTGTGGTATTTTAACCTTCCAAATCAGTTTCCAAGGCCATTTTGCTGTCATTGTCTGGCTGAAGTTCAAACTCCAATAACATGATTTCACGGTAAAAGACCCCTTGCTATGTAGTTTCCAAATTGGCAAATCAGAACCTACACTTACTCCTGGGAAAGCATTTAGAGTCTGCAGCAAATCAGCTACTCTATTTATTTCTCAATCATTCATGGCCCTCCTAAAAATCAAGTTCCACCCTTGAGGACTCCATACTTGTGCCACCTTATCCATCTGTTGCAAGCTCAAGATGTATAGATCAGGAAAGGTAGTCCTCAGAACCTCTTCCCCAATCCACAATTCATTCCAGAAACTTGTCTTCTCCCCATCCCTAATTCTGTACTTCAGGTTGTTAATGAAAGAGGGCCACAGTCTTCTAATTGTTTTCCATACGGAGCATCCAAAAGTACCAGTCACCTCCTCAGTGGTCCAACTATTCTGGAGCCCATATTTTTGTGAAATGAATCTCCTCCATAGTGCCACATCTTCACAACAGAATCTCCATAACCATTTCTTCAGTAGACTTTCATTCTGTGCACCTAGCTTCTTAATGCCCATCCCACCCTGTTTTTTGTTAAGGATCACCTTATCCCATTTTACTAGATTGTACCCCTTCTTCTCCTTGTTGCCCTGCCATAGGAAATCTCTTCTAGCCTTGTTGATTTTCTTCTCTATGTTACCTGGTAGAGGGAATAGACTCATCATATAGGTAGGTTGGCTGTCCATGACTGATTTTATAAGAGTCAGCCTGCCACCCAAAGATAGATACTGGCTTTTCCATCTTGCTAATTTCCTCTCACATATCTGGAGTGATTTCATATTCATGGTTCAACAAATTGTGTACCCATATATTTTCTCTCTCATCGGCGAGTCCAGGATATCCTTCTCCACTTGATTCTCTATCCTCAACCTTTTTCAAGATCCACATGTAGTATTAAAATGTACAGAAGGGTCGTCGTGCACCTATATCTATGGTCATCACTCTTTCCCACCTTCGAAGTGTGTTATGAACTTGTGGATTATTTTGTCCAAAATCATACTTATAGTGATCTGTATTGGATCGCAGTGAAATCACTTGAACCCGTCCAAACTGACGGAGTGCTCGAAGAGAAGCATATGGTTGAACGTCCTTTAAGCCAATAAGCTCAATGAAATAGCGTTCATCACCTCACACTATATACAAAGGGTGGACAACCAACAGAGTTTCCATTGAATGCGATAGTTGTTGAGTCCCTTAAAAAATATAAGTCAATCTTCGACTCCCACAGGGGCGATGAAATATTCCATTTTTCTTGGATGACTATCAATTTTGTTGTCTTTACCTTTGTAAAGATCTATCATGTCAAATCGGTTATAGAAGTGTTTGATAGCCCACAATTGTAGTAAAAAGTTGCATCTTTCGAAAAATATTCTACCATTGACATATGCAGACATACTTCTCATTATATCTGCCAATATCATGGACACTATAATTTTCCTAGGTTCGTCCCTTCCTTGAGCTAACGCACGAACCACGTGACCCAAACAGGTATCGATCTTTAATATTTCTTTGGGAAAAACTAAAGAACCCAATAATGTAATGACAAAGGCACTCAAGTGATATTTTTCCCATTTTTTCAGCAGAACAATCAAATTCTCATTAAAAAATTGATGACTATCTTTATGACCGAAGCGTGAATACAGAAAATCAAAAGGATTCCACCCAAAATCTAAATAGGTTAATGTCAGATTGTATTTCATTCCCACATTCTCTAGAAATGTCTTTGGTGATTGTTTATAGGGTACAATCATTTCACACTCACGATAAAACAAGCCACTAATTTCTTTAATTGTCGGTACTAATTCAAAATCACTAAAATTGAAGAGCATCCTCAAGGGATCCCGATATTTCAATAAAGCCTTAATCAGGTGATGGTTAGGTACGACAAAAATGAGGAAAGTTAGGCCGCCCAACAAATTGCAAATCTTTATTTCACGGTCTTTTTTTATGTCATTCCACTAATCTCTTAGCTTATCACTCACTTCTACGACCATTTGCGGGTTGACGAAATGTGGAGAGGCCATGACTCAGCAAATAAAACAACAAACAAATTCTAAACTCCATTTTGACATAGTGTGGCTTGAATTAATTATTATGATCACATTGACATATAATATGCACACCAAGTGTCAGTGTGATCACACTAATTAATTCAAGCCAAGTTATGTCAAAATGGAGTTTAGAATTTGTTTGTTGTTTTATTTGCAGAGTCATGACCTCTCCACATTCCGCAAATGATCGTAGAAGTGAGTCATAAGCTAAGAGATTAGTGGAATGACATAAAAAAAGACCGTGAAATAAAGATTTGCAATTTGTTGGGCGGCCTAACTTTCCTCATTTTTGTCGTACCTAACCATCACCTGATTAAGGCTTTATTGAAATATCGGGATCCCTTGAGGATGCTCTTCAATTTTAGTGATTTTGAATTAGTACCGACAATTAAAGAAATTAGGGGCTTGTTTTATCGTGAGTGTGAAATGATTGTACCCTATAAACAATCACCAAAGACATTTCTAGAGAATGTGGGAATGAAATACAATCTGACATTAACCTATTTAGATTTTGGGTGGAATCCTTTTGATTTTCTGTATTCACGCTTCGGTCATAAAGATAGTCATCAATTTTTTAATGAGAATTTGATTGTTCTGCTGAAAAAATGGGAAAAATATCACTTGAGTGCCTTTGTCATTACATTATTGGGTTCTTTAGTTTTTCCCAAAGAAATATTAAAGATCGATACCTGTTTGGGTCACGTGGTTCGTGCGTTAGCTCAAGGAAGGGACGAACCTAGGAAAATTATAGTGTCCATGATATTGGCAGAGATAATGAGAAGTATGTCTGCATATGTCAATGGTAGAATATTTTTCATGCAATCTTTTACTACAATTGTGGGCTATTGAACACTTCTATAACCGATCTGACATGATAGTTCTTTTCAAAGGTAGAGGCAACAAAATTGATAGTCATCCAAGAAGAATGAAATATTTCATCTTCCCCATGAGAGTCGAAAATTGGCTCATATTTTTTAAGGGACTTAACAACTATCACATTCAATCGAAACTCTTTTGGTTGTCCACCCTTTGTGCCATAGTGAGAGGTGATGAACGTTATTTCATTGAGCTTATTGGCTTAAAGGACGTTCAACCATATGCTCCTCTTCGAGTACTCCGTCAGTTTGGACAGGTTCAAGATACCACTGTGATCCAATACAAATCACTATGATTATGGACCAAATAATCCACAAGTTCATTACATACTTTGAAGGTGGGTGAGGGTGATGGCCATAAATATGGGTGCACGACGACCCTTCTGTACATGTGGATTTCGAAAGAGGCTGAGGGTAGAGAAGGATATCCTGGACTCGCCGATGAGAGAAAAAATATATGGGCACGCAATTTGTCGAAACATGGATATGAAGTCACTCCAGATATAAGAGAGCAGATGATGCCAAGCTCTTGGGATCAATATCTTCAAAGTTTCTAATTTATAGGATTACTTTTCCATGTTACCCCATTTCCCCCTTTGTTTATGTTTTTTTATCATGATGTAATAGTTTAATTTTATTTAATAAATAATAGCTTAGTTTTCTTTACTTTTTCTGACTCTAAACTTCAAAATAAGGCTTGAATTTATTATTGTGCATCACTTATTTGTCGTCTTAGGCCTACCTCTGGCTCAGTGAGGCTCCTTGCATTTAGGACATTTATTTTAGCAAAACAATGTGCTTATTATCTCAATATATTCTGACTTGGTTTCCTGTTGATTTTTATTTTTGTCTACTCTTCCCCAAAGGTTGATCTATACACTATGGTTTACCACAAACAATCGAAAGGTGCTCTTCATTCTTCTCCTAGTTCGAATCGCAAAGGAAAGAGAAAGATGATTGATAACAACATTATCACGGAAATGGTTGGAACTTTTAAAGAGGAATATCCTTCAAATGAGTTGATCTTAAGGTTGGAGCAGAAAATAATGGAATTAGAAGAAGAAATAGCTGGTATGCGCAAATGAGTTAGGTTTTTAGTCGATCCCTCTTTAAGAATAGGGCCACCTTTCAAAATAATCCTTCGCCGACTCATCCTATTTCCTATCCTCAAAATCAACCGAGCTTTATTTATATGCCTCCAACAAATACTCAGTCTCCGAATTAACCCATATCCACCCTTACTTCATAACACGTCTGTAAACCTACAGAACCCCACCACACAACCTCCTCAGTATCAAACACCTTTGTACCAAACTTTTTGGTATCATGCACTTGATGTACCATATCAACAACTTACATACCCCATCTACAATGTCAAATCCATCACTCAACAGCGCAATCACAAAAGTTAATCCAATATCGAGAAAAAATTACACTCGTTTAACCTCCCCACATAATTATATGAGATACGGCCGGGACCCATATTTGTGGACCTCGGGAGTGTTAGAGTCCCACATTGGTTGGGGAATGACTAGTGGTCTGCTTATTTGGATTTGCGCAAACTCCCCCTCATTAGCTTTTGGGGTTGAGTTAATCTTAAGTGTCATATGTTTACATGCTGCAAGTTAGATTCCTTTCAGTGAGCTATTTATATTTTATTGAACTATTTATAATACTTTCTAGAAAACATGCAATCTGTTATTTGATCACTTATAATCTGGGAAGATGTTTTACCTATAGATAATCCTATGAAATGGACTCGTGACTAATGAATATTGCCCTGCAAATAATTGTTTATTGCAAGATGAAGGTTGAGCATTGGTCTCTGGCATAACTATCTCCATGGATTCCTTTTTTATTGAATTTTTAATAAATGGGAAAACTTATTGGTTTGCTAAATGTTGATCAAATTGCAGTTTTTGCCTTTTAGTTGGAGGTTAATCTGGATTATTTACTTGAAGGTCACAGAACTTTTCTTAAATTCTACCCACTTGACATCACAGTCCTATATGCTTCAGGCATATGAGATGCTTTCATTTCTTAAATGAGTCCTCCATTTAGTAGATTACATGATAGGTTTCTTCCTTTATTTACGGAAACGAAAATTCATCTTTTAGAAGGTTATATTTCTTTATATATTTTTTGTTAAATTCTTGTATTTTAGGTCTGGTATTTATTTTCTACGGCATTTGAGTGCTAGCCTGACTTTTGATATTATCATTGAATTATGTAAAGATAGAAGACTGCCGAACCCGCTACAATGGTGATGCAGATCACCATCAGCGCCGCAAAAAGTTCTCATTTCCTGCCAGACTTATGTGTGGAGATTGTTATGAGGTAAATCAGCTAACCACATGATCAAATTTTCCCGCTTTTGCAGATGGAACTGAAATTTCATAGCTTTTGTTGCTTTCTTTCTCGTCGTAAACATCAGGAATATTGGATGTATCATTTCCTAGACGTACTAGGACCTTATGTATAGTGATGATCAGCATTTGCTTTAAACTACTGATATACCAAATTACTTTGTGCTTTTATTGGAAAATCGTGGGCAATGACACTACTGATATCTTTTGTGGTGATTTTCAGGTTCGTCTGGACCGGATTTTAGCAGATGATGCACCTTTTGATGTTTGTAGCTGCCAGGTATGTCAGTATCCTGTATTTCGTATAATATAGCAAACTTTGTTCTTTAGGGTGTTAGGTAAAATACATTGTTTGAGAATTCGTTACATAGTTTGGGACTTCGTTCTCAGTGACTACAAGTAGTATTTTCCCTTAGAAATCTGCCGTACCATCTATTTGTTTTCTGGCTTAATTGAACTCCTTCTCTGATATCCCATAGCCAATAGAGATACATGCTTCTATGAGTTGAAGCGCTGTATAAGACAACTTCTCTTGGTACGAGAAAATTTGAGGTGTTTTGGATTTGTTGTTTCCCTTGTAAATATCTCTTCTCAAGCTTTTATGTTCTGCTTCCGGGTTATATTAGATGTTTCCTTTGTGCTATCTTGGTTGTCCTGCATCCTTACTAGTTATATTTCCGATGAACCTTGAAAATTAGTAGTGTACTCAGAAGCTTTTCCTATCAGTATAATCCACATCTTTCTTAAGTTTGAAATGGAAAAACCTTAGGAACGTAGAGGTTGAAGAAATATTGGATGTACAGTGTTCTCCTAATGGGATGCCTCTACATAGTAGCTGGAGAGGCGACAGCACTTTATCCTGTCAATCATGCTTGTCTTAGGTGGACTTTCATAGTTGATTGTAAACAAAGAGAACTTGAAAATTTGCAGTTTGCTATGCATTATTCGTGGTCTACTGAGGCACGTGCACGCCGTGCGCTGGCCAATGTCTCAGCTTTACTTCGACCTGGAGGAATATTTATTGGAACAATGCCAGATGCCAATGTCATCATCAAGAAGCTAAGAGAAGGTTTAACTTTTGCTCAGTTCTGATCTTCTTATCCCTGTTGAAACTATAAATATGAAACTGTGATGTCTTTATGATGTATGTTCACTCTCATCTCTAGCTTTTCAATTAAAAGAAAAGAGGCTGAAGTTCAGTAATATCTTCTGGATTTTTTTCCTTGATTAGAACCTAGTGTATATGCCTTTTACATCATGGAATAAGTCACGTTGAAATTCCTCCAAGTACTTTGTTAATTACTCTAATATTGTTAACTTATATGATCGCGTTTCCATTGCTCAAACTAGAGGAGTGATGGTGTAATTGAATTTTTTGAAATGTGTTATGTAGCCGTTCTTGAACAGTCTTAAAGATCTGTTGATATATGGTCCCTTTCCTCTGTGAAACTGCAGCTGAAGGGCTAACCTTTGGTAATAGTGTCTACTGGATACGTTTTGATGAAGAATTTTCAGAGAAGGTAACTTGTGCTATCATTTTCTAGTAATTTTGTACAGAAATTTATGTATGTTCTCTATTCTGTGTATTTGTAGTACTGTATACTAAGATCTTCTATTGTTGCAGAAATTTAAATCTTCAAATCCTTTTGGCATCAAATACAAGTTCCATCTGGAGGTGTGTACACCATGTGCCTCTCCTATATATCTTTGCTGCATCCTTTAAGCTTATCGCTAATGATTTTTAGTGTTTATGTGTTCTTGTTCATTTTGTTGCAAATCATAAATTTTAGCTTCCATTTGGACTGTAGGATGCTGTTGACTGCCCCGAATGGATTGTCCCTTTCCACATCTTCAAGGCATTGGCTGAAGAGGTATTTAGTGTCTTTACCCCCTGTTTATAGCTTGGATATATTCTGACCCCACAGGACATTTGCTTTCTGACTTTATGTAGATCCCTTTTTCTTTAAACGAAAACGGGAAACCATAGGTTTATAAGTCCCGTTTTGGAACTGATACCTTTTTTACCTTAAATCGGACCATGGTACGTTCTCTTTTATACTGAGTTGGTGGATTTTTCTTGATTGAGAGCGCTCTAATGCTAGTTATGAGTCACAAATTAAGGAAAGTATATTACATCTCACACAAATCCTTCTAGTAAGTCGGAGATATTTTGTATGGTATATGAGGCATAGTTATTGATATCTAATGGATTGCCACTTAGGAAGACATATCATTGTTAGCATTCAGGAATACCATGGCATGCAGTTCTTTCTCACCTTTTTGGTTTGTTCTGACAGTTTTATTTTCTTTTGTTAAATGCAGTATGACTTTGAGCTAGTTTTTGTGAAGAATAACCACATATTTGTAGACGAATACATGAAGAAACCAGAGTTCATTGAACTTATGAGGAGGCTCGGTGCATTAGGTGATGGGAACCAAGACCGAAGTAAGCGTAGTTCTTTGGTTGCTGAATTTTACGCTTTGATGTTTCATCGGAAGTAATGTTGTGATATTTGATGCCTTATTTTATAGGTTTCCCCCAGCTTGTGTTCTGACTTGTGTTGCTAACAACAGGTACTCTATCACCAGATGAATGGGAGGTTGCCTACCTTTATTTGACATTTGTTCTCAGAAAGGTACTGAAGCCTAATTCATGTTTCAATATTACCATTGTTTCTTAAACAGTAATCTGCGAACCGAACTAGGGGGCCTAACCAGCATGTCCCTGACGAACGAGACCTTATCCCTTTAACCAAGTCATACAGAACAGAGGTGGACTAGGACTTGTTGGGAAGAAAGATTACGTGCAGCTTGTAGAGCACATGTAAGGCACAATCGGGTTGCTCATTTGAAGCTTATGAGTTTAGAATTTGAGCTCTTTCAAATGATTGAGTTCTAAATTAATAATTTGTACATATTAAATGGATGTAAGACAACTTCAGTGTGTAGACCAAGGTTACTGGGTTCTAACAAACTCATAACTTTGTCTCTAGCTCTGCTTCTGCTGTCCTAGTCTAGGTACCATGTTAGGCACCAATATGTGTCAAACTTAACAATGACAAATATAGTAATTGTGATCTTGGCTAAAATCTTGTTTATTTTGCAGAGAGGGCAACCAGATCAAATACAGAGAAATCCTAGACGAGACATAGGCAAGATGCATTTGACTAAAGACGATATCGAGAATGTCAATGGTGCAGTGTAGTGTCTTGCTGTTATGGCATATGAAGAATTATCTGCAAGGAAGAGGAACAAGTCAACAAAATGTGCCCCTTTTTCGAGTCGATAAATCGAGCTGCTAATCAATTTTGCAGAATAAAAACTATAGATAGTTTTGGCCTAATCATTTGTTACAAATTTCAACTTGCTATAAAGCTCCAGCATGTATAGTTAAAACAAGCCAGTGCAATGTGTGTCCACTTGCACCTACTTACTACCTTGTAAATTTTATGTAGCATTTATAAATTAAAAGATAATGAAAATAGGCAAAAGTTTCTATTTAGACTGTTTTAAAGATTAAAATGCACTTAAAGTAAGTAATTATTGTTTAACAATAATCATTACAATAGCAATATCTTCATTATTAATCACTACATAACAATCTATTTATTATTCGGAGAGGGTCTAAAATGCCCCTCAAGTATTTGAATTGGTACAAAATTATCCTTCATCCGCCTATCAGCCCTAAAATACTCTTGACATCCACCTTTCGGCTCAAAAATACCCTTTATGTTAATCATTTGACTCATATTTGCCCTTATTTTTAATAGCTCCCTTAAAGTAAAATTATTAAATATTTATTTATTATATTGCTTAATATGATCGGTCCAAATTTAAACCCTTCTCAAATAAATAATAAAAATGATATTTTTAAAAGTTCTAATTTTCTATAAAACCACTTATGTTTTATATTTTGACTCGATACACTTGAAAAAAATATTGAAAAAATAATTAATTTCATGATATCTTCCTATTGGCCTATTTTAAATCGACCCCAATTTATTATAACGTAACCCAACTCATAAATGGGAATCCAACTAAAATCCATACTTACCCCGACTTATTGTCCATCTAAAAAAAAATTATTTTCATTGATATAAAATTTTCTCTCAATTATCAAAATGTCTTGTTCATTTTTTCTTTATTCCTTTTTGTAATCTCTTATTCTTAATTAGGATATCTGAGACTCAAACTTGAAATGAAATCACATATTTATATTCTTTTAATTAGTATTATTGTCACGATGGGATGAGGGTGGGGATAAGAGAAATGATTATTTTTATTAATTTATTTTTAATTTTGGGTACACACAAAAGAAAAATGTAATAGTTGTGCATAATTGCTTAATTGAGTCATCTTTTATTAAACTAATTATTTCTATATGAATGCATCGTTATTTTCCTCTTTTTTTCTCTCTTGTTTGTCATAAATTGAAAAAATAAAATAAAATGGTGGACAAGATCCAAATAGGAAAAAAATGAAAGAGATAGGAAGTGAAGGGTCAGGGAGGAAGAGTAGAGAGTAGACACATAACCTTTTTATAATATTAAATTTACTATGAAATTCAAAAGCATGTCAATCATGTGAGCTTATATATTAAGTAATTTCAAATTATTTTAATGGAAAAGGGCCTAAAATTCCCTTAAACTATGAGATTTGGTACAATATTACCCTCCATCCACCTAATGAGTATGATGCGTTAGACATAAGGGTATTTTTGAGCTGAAAGGTGGACGTCAGGGATATTTTAGAGCCGATAGGTGGATGAAGGGTAATTTTGTACCAATTCAAATATTTTAGGGGTATTTTAGGCCCTTCTCCGTTTATTGTTAATTACTCCACTACTGATTACCACATTATAATCCCCACAAATTAGCCCCCCTCGGTCTTTCTTTTATTTATTATACATCAAAAAATGATCCAATCATCACTTATCTAATCCTACTATTAAATTATGGAGTTTAATTAAGTTATTTAAAGATTTCTTTTAAGAACAAATCTCACATATGGTGGCAGATTTATTTTATTTTGAAAATTATAAATGTCATATTTTTAAGAAGTTTTTTTTCTTTAATGGTATAAATTCTGTTTGTGTAGTGATAGTGACCACATATATAATTTAAACTCTATTAATAGGTACTTATTTATGGTTTATTTTAGAGAATTGAGGCGACTTTTGAGTAATATCTAATATTATTTAAAAGCTAAATTAGTGTACAGGCCTAATTAAGTTTGTTCAACCTAAATTAGTGTACAGGCCTACTTTTGAAGCATTGTACAAATACAAATTAGTGTTCTAACATTAATTAATTACACAAGAGTAATTTTTCAAAAAGCGGTGACTCAAACGAAGTTTAAATAGTCAATTAACTGAGTTATTATGATTTCGTATTTACATATTAGAAGAAGGTTGAATTATGCTGACTAACGGGACCCAACGCTAACGAATGGCAACGAATCATATCCTTATCCCGCGAGATTCCACACTATCATCAACTACCTTCCGACCACCACCAAATTTAGCTCTAACTCAACTCCAACTATTATGGCTTTCTCCTCGCCGCTGTTTTCTCCGGTTAACTTCACCTTAAACCCTAATCCCCAACTCCATCATCCTAAATGCACAAAGCCAAACAACCGCCGGAGCTTCTCCGTCTGCGCCATTCCGCCGCTCTCCACCGCCACCGACATCTCCGCCGTCACAGGTCCGTTGGACGGAACGACTATCGCCGTACTTGGCGGTAGTTCCGTGGCGGCACTTGCTGCTATTCTCTCGCTCGCCGACCCCGAGCGCCGGCGGCAGCTTCAGGCGGAGGAGGTCGGCGGCGGTGATAAGGAGGTGGTGAGAGAGTATTTCAATAACAATGGGTTCCAGAGGTGGAAGAAGATATATGGTGATACGGATGATGTGAATAAAGTGCAGTTGGATATAAGATTGGGACATTCAAAAACTGTTGAAAATGTGATGAAAATGTTGACGGAAGAGGGATCTCTGCAGGGAGTTACTGTATGTGACGCCGGTTGTGGGACCGGTTGTTTGTCGATTCCGTTAGCTAAAGAAGGTGCCATTGTATCAGCTAGTGATATTTCAGCTTCCATGGTAGCTGAAGCCCAAAAACAGGTGATCTTTGTTGAATTCAAGCTTATTCGCTAAATAATTGTTGCAGATTCGAAATTTTATGTCTGTGGATGTGTAGATTACCTCATAGTTGATTTATTATAAGTACTTCATACAACAACAACATTACCAGTGTAGTCGGGGTATGGGGAGAGTGAAGTGTATGTATACCTTATCCCTATCTCAGAGGTAGAGTTGTTGTTTCCGATAGACCCTGGGATCAAGAAATTATAAGTACTCCAATAATCTTAAGAAAAATTTTCGTATATGTTTAAAATAATACTCCCTTTGTCTCATTGTTTGACCGTAAAAATTAAACTTGTGATCTAAAACATGTCAACAGAAAGTTTAAAATTAAATTGCTACTAAATCTTGAAAGGTGAAATTGGGACAGACCTGAAAGGAAAGCGTGCTACATAAATTAGGACAGAGGAAGTAGTTTGAGTCGAAGGTTCAAAGAGTTGGACCTGCCTATGCTGCTGCATCACAGTTTGAGTAGTGGTAGAATAAGAAATTGGTTTCGGCTTCTCTTAGGTTGAACAAACTTAATTACTGTGCGGGAAATGCAATATCTTAAAGGCCTGTACCTCTTCTTTTCACCGGCAGCTTTTATGTTATCTTTGGAGTGTATCTTAGATTTCAAGAAGAGCCCTTGATTCGTCTTAAAGAAAGAAACTTGTTTTTGAATGTAATTGGTATTAAGATTATGGCTTTTTTGGAGTTGAGAACTGAACAATACTTCCTAATCTTAATGAAGGCGCAAGAGGAGTTGTTCAAGGGTAAGGATGACCAATCCCTGGCACCAGTAATGCCGAAATTTGAAGTGAAGGACTTGGAGAGTTTGGATGGGAAGTATGACACTGTGGTTTGCTTAGATGTTATGATACACTACCCACAAAGTAAGGCTGATGGTATGATTGCTCATCTTGCATCATTGGCTGAGAATCGCTTGATCCTGAGCTTTGCCCCGAAGACATTTTATTATGATTTGTTAAAAAGAATTGGAGAGTTGTTCCCTGGACCTTCAAAGGCTACACGAGCATATCTACATGCAGAGGCTGATGTGGAGAGGGCACTGCAAAAAGCTGGGTGGAAGATAAAGAAGAGAGGCTTGATCGCCACACAATTTTACTTTGCAAAGCTTATTGAAGCTGTCCCTGCTTAGGATTGAAAGGCAAGTGAGATCTCATTTGTTTGGCAATGTTTCTTCACTGCTGGTTAGATATTAGGAAGTCCGTTGAGTGTTTATTATGAATGCGTTATTTCACTCCTCAGTTTCTAACATATATAATAGTTTACAATGTATCTGGATTCTGCTTCTGACTTGGAAAATTTTTGTCGATATTATTAATATATTATGAAATGTAAATTTAATCATCATTTGGTGGCTTTGATTCATTCGTTTTCATCCTTAACTTTTGTGGTTTCCTGTCAGCAGCTCTGCCACGTTTTTTCCTCAAATAATGCTTGATGGTTGTGAAATCCAATCCTTCATTTTTAGTCATGAAAACTATAAGATAGTGCTATTAATGGAATGGTGTTAAGCATTTGGTATAAAAGTGGAGATAATGTCATATAAATTGGAGTAAACAGAGTAGAATTCACTATCAAGTAATCCAGTTTAGAGATGAGGTTGAACCTGTGAATTCTCTATAGAAGCTTTTCAAACATAGCCTCTCCCCCCTATGATTTAATTTTAAGAAATGGATACTTGTCTGTGAATTTCTAATGGTCTAATTGAGGACCACTCAACCTTTCTTATGGCATATCATTCATCTTGTTTATTTCTAATACAACCTAAAAAGGAAGAAAAAGCAAAGAATTACACTCTGTTCTCTTGCTAAGTGTTTGCTTTTCATGTCATTATCATCAGTTTTTCAGATAGACTGGTGCTTGTTAAATTCATCACTGGAGAGACTGTCAATTCATAGTCGAAGGTAGATGTAAATAAAATCTTATGGTTGTCAAAAAGATTTGAAGATTCAGAACCAAGTACCAGCAACTAACCAGACATCATAATCACTGTCAAGGGCAATGATAGTCGATAAACATTCAAAACCTACTTCTTACTTAATCTAAAACAAAAATAAATCAAAGTACTGCATTACATCTTATCAGCAACTCTTGCTACTGCATCAGCTACCTTATTGAGAACAGCAATCAAGCTATTAGTTTGTTCCTTCTGCTGCTCCCTGTCCCGTTGACGATTTTCCATTTGAGCATCAAGTTGTGAATGAAGCATGTTGGTGTTTTGCTCCAGAGTTTTCAGAAGTTTATATCCCAGATTACTATCAATACAACCATCTGGTGATAGTCTTCTTTTCTTCACTCTGTCCTTAAACATGGGGCTATTCCAGAAATCTGATCCAGGCTGCTTGCCTTCAGCTGTACCTGAGAACAATACAGAGGAATGTACTTTACTGTTTCAATCTTTACGGTGTTGCATTCAACTAATTACAGATAAGTTCTGATGATAAAAAGTTAGTTAACTTCTGTGTTGAGGTTTTGTTTGAGAGAAAAGCAAATTTTGAAGGACGTTTACCTGATCTAGGCACTGGAGAGGGAATGGACTTAGCTTTTTTGTCTATGACGATGTGTTCCTTCAGTGGGCTGCTTCCAACTTCCTCCGTTGCTGGAGGCATAACATCATCTTCCATAGTATATTCCCCAGTATGAGAAACATTGTCATTCTCTTCCTCTCCCTCTTCCGCTTCCTCTTCTTCAACTGTTTCTACACCATAGTCAAGTTTTTCATCTGTGGTTATGGTTACCAGAGCTAGTTGGTATGCTTCTGCTGTGAATTCCTTCCCATCCAAGACATTGTAGACTTCTCTATCAAAAGAACCTGGTAGCCTTTTCTCTCGCCTGAGATCGTTACTGATAATCCAATAAGATTCACTGCTTCCATTTGTCTGTGTCTCCCATGTTTTAATTTTCTTGAAATCACTGATCATGTTGCTCCAACGTTTTCTACATTGAACAGGTCCTCTATCTGCTCCATGTTGTCTGCAGTAAGAAGAGACCGAGTCCCATTTGGGTTCCGGCTTGTCTGATCCAAAAACAGAAGTGGATTTACGCCCCCTATGAGCTCTTTCCTCAGCAATCTTTTTCCCTTGTATGAGAACAAGCGTCTCTTGCCTAGTCCATCGCGAGTGTCTTGGTGTCTTACTTTTGCCATCTTCAGTCGATTTTTGCTGTCCATCAGCTAACGTTGCAGTGTTCTCATTCATCTCTGTTGAGCCTAATGTACTCATTGAAGTTTTGCTGCAGAGGTCAATCAAGAAGACAATATAAAGATCTTTGTGGATAGTCTATACATTACTTGCTGTTTTTTTACCAAGTTGATTGGTGATTGACTTCCAAAGAAAGGCATGTATTCTTTCTTTAGGCATTGAATCTTAAAGGCTTTCTTAATTTTTCAGATTTTCTTTAAGTACATTTATGCTGTCTAATTGCAAATGCCCAACTATACAGCTTTGCTTGATTCTGTCATTGAAGATGTTGCCATTTCTGAAAAGGGAGAGTGACCAAGTACTAGTGCTCTATTTATTGCCTAAACGTTTAAGGCATCTATTTAAAAGGTGTGTTGACCCTCTACCCTGGGTTACTAAAATTTTACAAGTAACTGATGCTACTAAATACATTAAGTTTACCTAATAAAGTGGGATAGATATAACCGAAGACACTTCCCTTATGTGATTGAAAATATTTCTCAAAAGATTAATAATGTTACCCCCTCTGTCCAAAATCCTTGCCACCTTTTACTTCTCAAGATTGAAACCGCTTTGACCAACATTAATCTAATAGCAACAAGTGTTTTGAGACAATGAGAGTAACAAATTGTATAGTGTTTTCTGAAAAATCCATCTTCTTTCATTAGAACCAAATTAGAACAGTGGTTTATTTGTTTTAAAATAAGAACCGATCATAGAATTTTGATGTTTTTACTTAGCTAAATATATACAAAATTGTGTTGAGTGCAAAAATGAAAGTGAGTTAACTGAATATGGTACCACATCGGCTGAGGCAAAGGGAGACAGCGAGGTGGAGTAATATAAAACAAAAGGAGGGACCACCATAACGCATACTTACCTGAACATGGTCAATGGGTGATCATTAAGGTACATGGCCTAGGTTAATGACCTTCATTGCACTTTGGAGGGGTGATCCCCTAAGGTCAGCCCAAGTGATTGAGCCTACATCATAATTTGTGGCAGAGGGGGCCAGCGTTCGTGTAGCCCCTACCCACATCTTGAAACTATTTATTTGGGCCTACTAATTCGACGTATATGGGGCCTCGGTTCCTTAATTTGTGCCTCATCTATATGTTTGTGACATGTTAGAGATTGAATGACGATAAAATTGTTTTATTACTAAGAGTTTCTATGTAACCAATCTATCTCATGTAGTGACACTTAAAATGTTATCAAATAGCGTCCCTTATAAAATTGAAAATGACACATTTAATTGTAAATAAATGTGAAATGCATTAGTCTAAAATGGAAAATTAAAATTAGACTGCTCAAAAAAAAGAATCAAAAGAGAATTTACTGTAACTCGATTGATGAAAATAAAATCTATTTTAACCCTATTGACATCTACTTTTACTTAGATTGATAAAAAAGAAAATCTACTTCAATTCAATTGATCTTATCTTCTATCGATGTGTCTTTAGGCACAATCATTTTCAACTCGATTATCAAAAGAAGGATCTACTTTAACTCGATTGATTAAAAAAAATCTACTTCAACTCGATTGATCAAAAAACGGATCTACTATAACTATTAATTAAAGAAAAATCTACTTTAATTCATTGATCAAAAATAAAATTTACTTTAATCGATATGTCTTTAGAGACGACCATACATAAAATAGAAATTACACTTAAAAATGTGGACAAGCAAAAGAAGGGAATTCGGCCATATTAAAATTACCTTATGAAAAGATTCGTTTGATATCCAAAAGTTGCTCAGCAACAGCCGGGCAAGCGAGATGTTGAGGTATAGTCGGATCTAAGCGTTGATCACATGGCGGCGGTGAAGGGAGAGCCCTATTGGTAGAAAATAAACCACAATCCCTTTAGGTTTATCCTACATTAGAAAGAAGAACTAGAGAAAAAAGCGACATATATAGTGGTGATTTGAGTCTTCATCGCCGTAACAATTAAAAAAAAATCAACATTAATTATTTATTTTAAAAAATCTTAATAAAAGTGAGTAAGTTGATCATTATATTTGAAATCCCTACTTTAATGTTATGTGTTAAATAACATGACACATTAAAAAAGAGTCAATATAATTATACAACGTGTCAAAATAACATAACACGTCTATTTAAATCAAACATTAATAAACCAATTAAAAATTATCATATCAGTTCAATCTAATTAGTCAAAAGAAAAAAACTATTCTCATAACAACTCTTCCTTCTTATATAACTATAAACATAAATTCATCACACCACATAATAGATACTCCTGCTAAAATTTCTTACAAGAAACCAAAAAAGCAAATAAAAATTCGTATCAACACCATAGATTCAAGATCAATCTCAGAACAATTCTTTTCGTCTATATTCTTAAGTATTAAAATTGTACGCCAAATCAATCATATAACATGATTTTTTTATTATATTATCTGTCCAACAATAATCCTCCACAGTTGATTTGACACAATGATTAAAATTTAAGAAACAGTAAATGATAATAGTAATTTTATCAAATAACCCTTATTAAATTTAAGTCATTTAAATATTAAAAAATAAATAATGTTTAATAATAAGGATAAAATAAATATAACATGATAAATTATTCATTAGTCTTATAAACTAGACAAATATTATTAGACATCTCAAAATAGTACGATAGACAAGTAAATATAGACGGAGGGAGTACTTTAACTCTTGTTAATTTAATTACTACTAATGTATTTTAACTAACTACTAGTAAAATTTAACACGATTACAATATCTAGTCCCCCTACACTTCGCGGGTATCTTCGAAACTTTGAACTTTGTGGAAAGCGAAAGCACTGCAAACACTACACTGAGAAGAGGAGGGAAAAAAATGTGGGAAGAAGAAGCAAAGGGTATAAGAAGGGACGAAGAAGAAGCGCTGTTGGATCTGATTGAGCAACGTACTAAGAATGTTGAAAAAATTGGAAGAGCAATCGCTTATTATACTTGCGAGGTTTATCTTCTTTCAGACCCTAATCAAGTTTTTTTTTAATGATTTAATGTCATTTTTTTTCGATTTTAGTAATGGGTGGAAGTTAAAGCTTTAAAGTTTCTTACTTGGCGGAGTATGTAGAGAAGGGACTGCTTTGTTTGTTCCATTTTTATTTTTTTTGGATTTCCCCTCTTTTTGTTTTTGCTTGAATGATGAACTTTACTGTTTTGTCTGTGGGTATGTTTAAAGGTTGATTCTTGATAATTTGGTGGTGAAGTCTTAGTTTAAATGGAAAGAACCAGAGTTTTAGTTTATGGGTCATTTTGGTTACTGGGTATTGACATATTAAACACAAATAGTGGGTTTGAGCCAAAGTTATTGTTTTCTACCGAACCCCCAAAAGGGTTTTTAATCTCCAAAATCAATGCTTTATCTCACAAACCTTCAAATTTCTGTTGCTATGAGGTTTTTTAGAATAGTGAACTTCAATGTGTCTGTGTTATTGGGGGCTTTCAGTTGTGTGGACTGTGGTGTGTATATGTATGTACATGTACAGGAAGTGTCTACCCTACTATACCGTTCTTGATAGGCCCTTGATTAAGGGTGTGTTCAGTACAAAGGGAAATATTTCATTTGTATGTAATCTAGACAAATGTGATGTGAGGTGGGGGTTAGGGGTTAAGGGTGGTGAGATGGTGAGGATGGGGCTACGGGGTGGGGGTAAAGATGAGGTGTGTTGGAGGGTGGGGAGGACACAACTAATGTCGAATGCCACATGTGGAACTTGTTTTCCCTACATAAGAAGGGTATAAGAAGGGATGAAGAAGAAGTGCTGGTGGATCTCATCCAGCAACGTAGTAAGAATGTCGAAAAAAATTGGGAGAGCAATTGCTTATTATACTTGCAAGGTTTATCTTCTTTGGGACCCTAATCAAGTTTTTTGTTAATGATTTAATGTCCTTTTTCAGTTTTAATAATGGGTGAAAGCTTAAAGCTTTAAAGATCCTTACTTGGTGGGGTATGGAGAGAGGGGACCGCTTTTTTTGCCTCATTTTTTTTTTTAAATTTCCCCTCTTTTTGTTTTTGCTTGAATGATGAACTTCACTCTTTTGTATGCGGGTATATTTAAAGGATGATTCTTGAGAATTTGGTGTTAAAGTCTTAGTTTAAATGGAAAGAACCTGAATTTTAGTTTATGAGTCATTTTGGTTACTAGGTTTTGACATATTAAATGAATTTGTTTAAGACAAATAGAGGGTAGGAGCCAAAGCTATTGGTTTCTATCAAACCCCAAGGATGGTTTCAATCTCCAAAATCAATGCTTTATCCCACAAGCCTTCAAATTTCCGTTTCTTTGAGCTTTTTTAGTTTTATCATGGATTTTTTACTGTCTAAAGTTTATATTGTTGTCCAAGATTCTGTATTTTGTGTTTATGTCTGATGGAGTGAGGAGATTATAGTTTCTCTATTTGGTGATCATCCTATTAGGAGTTGTTATAATCCTGGAAAATTGTAATGTGCCCATGGAGAAAAAAAGATTCAATTTTTCTTTTGATGAAGGAAAAAAGAATCAATTTTTCTATTGTGGGGGTTTGCTTGAATTTTGATATATTTTTATCATGGATAATTTATTGTCTTAAGTTCATATTTTTATCCAAGATTCTATTTTTGGTGATCATGTCTTGTTGTTAATTACTTACGATTTTCTTTCTATGATGGAGTGAGGATGTTTAAGTTTCTTTATTTTGGTGATCATCCTCTTAGGAGTTGTTGCAATACTGGAAAAAAAAGATTCAGTTTTTTTTTTATGAAAGGAAACAAGAATCAATTTTTCTATTGTGGGGTTGTCTACCTTACTATACCATTCTGATAAGCCCTTGGATTTAGGGTGTGTTTGGTACGAAGGGAAATGTTTTCTTGGAAAATAAGTTGGTTTATTACTTATTTTCTTGCGTTCTCACGAGGGGATATCTGTTGAATGTAGGCTTTTACCTGGCAGATGATTCATATCTAATTTAATATGTAATTGGAATAGTGTGGGTTCTTTCTCTTACTTTGGGACCATAACTAATATTTCAATCCCCCCTCCCCCCAATTGGAATGAGTTACAGCTTGAACAAAAAGAGAAGAACTTAGAGGAGGCACAACAGCAACTTGCTCGCCTCCGGGCCCAGGCCATTGTGGCAACATCCACAAGCTATCATGGGAATGACTTGAATCTAGTGAAAGTCGAAAGACGATCCATGAGTCCTATCCAGATAAGTGATGATTCTTCTGAAAGCCTCTCTGAGTGTGAACCTCAACCTGACAAAGACAACACTGTGCCACTTCAGAAATCTTCAACACTTGATAAAAAATTAGCAAGACCTTTTCAGAAAAACAATGATGATTCCGGAAAGCCTCCCCGAGCAAAACCACTACTTATCATTCCTGACATGAAACCAAAGGGTTCTCTGCATTTGAAGATGGAAGAATCTAGTCCCACCCCATGTTTTTCTGACTCTTGTGCTGGAGGCTCAGTTTTTTCTTTTCGTAACACTCGTATCGTAAGGTCAAAAGCAGATAAGAGCGCGAAAACCCCTCCTGACACCGGAGCTGCTGATATTGAACATAAAGGAACAAAAAGGAAGTCTGGTAATACTATATTTGTTACATCTGATCTATTGATACTAGCATGTTCTAACATGCACTCTGACATACTATGCAAATGCTTTTTCATATAAAATTACCATCTGACGAGCTTGTTTGTCATCTTCGCTTTGTGAATATAGAACAAATAGAGCATAAAGAGCTGATTCCATTGATAGGTAGATCCTCTTCAGCAAGCAAGCTACAATGCCAAACAACCAGTGTCATACCTAGTCAACACACGCGAAAGCTGAGAAATATTGTCTTGTGCCCTACTAATGATCAACTTTTTGCGAGCAGGTAGATTAGAAGTTTATCCACTCTTTGTAGATGACAATTGTGATTGTGGATGCATTTTGTTTATTGCTTCTAGATCTTTAATGAATTATGGATGGACCAACTGTAGAGCAGAGCTTGTCCCTTCTCTCTCTCTCTCTCTCTTTTATATATA